ACAGGGACACGTCAGGGAGCCACCCAGCAGTTTCACACACTAAAGAAGTGCCTGGGTACAGTGGCTGAGCGCTGCACCCCAGTTACAATGGAGCAGTAAGAAATCCTTGAACAATTAGGCAATATCTCTGATACACTGCGGATGTTTTAGGTGCAGATTCTTGGTTTAACAGAAATTGTACTTTATAAAGTAGCAGTCTTTGGAAAGGAAATGATTGAAAATACCATTCTTTTCTATAAAATTCCTGCAGTCTCTGCATAAGATAAATCTAGCCCTTGTAAAAGTTTGGCACCTCTGCTTTCCACAAGTCGAACTGAAAACCCACCGTGGCTCTGCGATTTTCCTTTCCCAGCATCTTCCCACCACTGAAACCTCAAGGATAGAGATTTACCACTATTTGGATTTTACAGACAGCCAAATCACAGTTACTGAAGGAAGAAGACAGTGAGCCAGAGAAACAATTAGGACTATTGATCTTCTAAATAATTCAATAGAATTGGTTTGGGGTTTTTTGCTGGTCTTATTTTTGTTGTTCAGAACTGCTTCCCACCCAGGCTGTCTCTTCCAGGGCACTAACTCACCCGTTGTAATGTGTGGGATGGCTTTCTCTTCTTGTCAGCAGTGTATAAACTGATTTCTATTTCACCTTTGGCAGCTCGACATTCTTCCTGGACCCTAATTATACACAAGAAACAGACATTATATTCATTAAATCATCATGGAACTCAACAGCCTCCTTAACATATACATTAAAATACTTGTGCTGCTCAAAGAAATCTGTGCATAAAACCCCCTGGCAGCATCCATCCATTTGCTCCTGGAATCACAAGTTAAAGAAACAAAGTCATTAGCTGAGCAGCCATAATTATTTTCCAATGTATTAAAATTATTTTCAAGTCTTTTTAAAATAAAGCTTGAGGAAAATGTGGTACTTGGAGTACTGAGGAAAGACTGGATTGTGAAAAGAAGAAATTACCATTCTCAACTCCATTCTGATCCAAACAACCCAACTATTACAGCGACCTGAGGAGGCCACTACGGTGAGAGAAGGATGAGAATCTTGTTTCTTGATCAGAAGGTTGGATTTATTGATATATGATATATAATACATTATAACTATACTAAAAAGAATAAGAAGAGAGGTTGCAGAGGCTTGCTAAGCTAAGAATAGCAAGAAAGAATGAAATAACAAAGTTCTGTGTCTAGGGAATCTGTCCCTGAGCTGCTCTTGTGATTGGCCCTTAATGGTACACATGGAAGATGAGCCAATCACAGGATCACCTGCTACATTTCACAGCAGCCGATAACAATTTGTTTACATTCTTCTTCTGGGGCTTTTTGCTTCCCAGAAGATGCACAAATCTCAAAGAAAGGATTTCTGTGAAAAAATGTCTGCGACACCCAACCAACCAAGCGCCAAAGCCCAAAACTCATTCCAGGAGCATGGAAGGGTCATTCCACATTACACAACTGAATGTCTCACCCCACTCCCACTGAGCCTCTTACTTGCTGATGCCTGGAGGGAGCTCGTTGACCACCACCCTCCTGCTCCAGGCCATGAGGTCCCTCTCGGTGGCCATCTGGCTGCGGGGCGCGTTGAGGTGCATCTGCCGCACGCCCTCGATCTGCCCGCTGCGCCGCAGCCCCACGTTGGGGGGAGAGGCCACCTCCAAGCCCGGGCTGCGAAGGGCTGGGAGAGAGAAAGAAAGAAAGAAAGAAAGAAAGGGCTTCTTCACTTCCATGGACCACCAATAAAATCATGGAGTCACAGGGTGGTTGGGTGAGGAGGGATCTTAGAGATCAGTGCCAGCCTCTGCCATGGGACACCTTCCACTAGACCAGGGTGCTCCAAGCCACGTCCAACCTGGCCTTGGACACTTCCAGGGACCCAGGGCAGCCACAGCTGCTCTGAGCAGCCTCCCCACCCTCACAGGGAACAATTCCTTCCCTGTATCCCATCCACAATTTAAAGGCACCAAGATCGATAAACAAAGATTGATAATAATAATGGACTCACTGCCATCATTGTCCCCACTTTTCCTTCAGGATTCCCACAGGCTTAAATGCTGTATATCAAATGATAATATTGCATTTATGGTTGTGCAAAGATATATAAAAATATCTGGCTGTTTAAAAACTTTAAGCATAATCCAATTAACTTACTCAAATGGGCAGTTCATGTGGGCAAAGTCACTGATCAATGCAAGCTCCAGAAGGGAACTGCTTTGATTTCCACACTACCCATATCTGAAAACTCCTTCACACAACTACAGGGACACACAAATAAAACTGGGAACTGGGGTTGTACAACACATCAACATATCCTAAGCAGCAGAAAAGACTTTGTGTGAGCTGAAACTGCCTTTTAGGCAACCTTTTTGAAATATCAACTTCGATCAAAGCAAAAATGCATTTTCATATTTTTCCCTGATATTTTTCTTACTCCTTCTTGGATTGAAACACAAACAATTCCACATCCAAATCCTAATGAGCTTTGCCAGGAAATCTACTTCAAACACATGTAATCAGTCACTTAACCTAGAAGTGATTTATCAGCAGCTGTGAATTCTCCCAAGGCTCAGGCTGACTTGCAGCACAGTGCTGGGCATCTGCTCCCTCCCATCAGCTGCACTCACTCAGCTGCTCACATCTGATTGAGTGTGGTTTCAATTTTTAATCACTCTGTGTATTAAAAATAAAATCACAGTAGCAGAACACTTACCAGGAGAATAATCTCAAGCTTTCTAAGGAAACACTAAGACAGAGCAACATGTTTATTTTATTAGCACTGATGCTCAGCCTTGTGCTGCAGCAGGAAACCATTAGTCTGTCACAACACTGTATTCCACTGACAGCCCCTAATTATATGCTTTCATTTTGGCATTTTGCAGTTATGAAGCTCCATCTCTGCACTGATATCAACACAATACAGTGAACTTCATGCTTTTTTTTTCAGGAAACTGGTTTATAGCAGGAATAATTCCAGTCTAATAACTCCAAACAATCAGATACAGCCCAGTTAGACCATTGGGTGCCCTCAGTTGCCCCATAAATTTATAATTCCCCTGTTGGAATCCACAGAACATCCCAGTGCTCCACAGGGGTTAACAGGGTGTACAAGAAGAGGAGAGAAAAGAATTTCAAAGACAATGTGTCAGAACTGCCATTAACATTTTGATCAGTTCTTCCTGTGATAAGGAAGGAACTGATGGAGATAAGGCTGGACACTGACCTCCATTAACAGAGTGCGATCTGTTGAGGGGAGGGTTTGGAAGAGTTTCTCCTTCATTAATTAGTCTCAAATCTTGTTCCCTCTGGAGCTCTCTGATCATTCCATCAAGGATACTCTCATCCTGGTCATTGGTTTGCTGCCCGATGACTTGTTCAACCACCTCGCCATCACCTTGACAGCAACAAAACCACAAATGCTGATTAAATGATGGATTTCTGTATTAGCAAACAGCATAGAAATAATCCCTTTTAAAGCTCTGTACCACAATTTGTCTGCTCTGCAAAACATCTGATCACCAGCTGGCTTTCTGCTCTCATGTAATAAATGGAGGCAAAGTTTAGAAGAGAAGTTACAATAAAATCCTAAAACTCCAGACCACAAGTAGAACATAAACACAAGCCATTAGAAACAGCAGAAAGAAATAATGCTTCAGTAGGTAAGAATGGAAGGTATTTTTGGAGATCAACATTTTGCTAAAGTCTGTGTTTAAAAAAAAAAAAAACTCTTTTACAAAACAAAAGCTGGTTTTCCTTGTCCTTCTCACTTTCCTGCTGCTTTCTCACATCCACAGTTACAGAGGTTAATAGGCAATGTTTTAAACATCTGCCATATGCCTGGGAAAAATCCACACATTTTGGAATACTCTTGCCTCCAGTCAATTTGATTCCACACATAACCCCACCCCACCCTCTCTTCTACCTGTATATTGAATTTAAACCATTAATTTCTACATCCTCACAGCACCATCCCAGGAGCTGGTGCTCCATACTGTGCCACACTTGTATTATTCATGAGCTTCAGACAGAATACCATTAGCCACATATCCCAGCTGAGGAATAAGTTGTTCATCCTTGCAATTTTCCCTCCCTGGCACCAGCCTCTGGAATCTCGTGGGATGAGGATTTCCATCAACATCCACCAGGAATGGAGGAGGCATAAGGTGTGGAGCCTGTTGAGTCTGCTCATCCAGCACATAATTATTGGCATCCCGGATCAGGGGCCGGTAATCCGTGTGGAAGAACATCTGATCAGGAATCTGAAAGAAAAGCAATTCAGGAAATCAATCAATGGCCATTTGCAGCTGTCTTGCTGCTCTGGAATGGCTCCCATAAAGCACAACTCCTACATGTGGGATCAGCACAAGGAATGTTGTGACAGAGAACAGAATCCTACCACAAATGTGGTTTATTACCAAGGCCTGATGCAGAAATTCAACAGAAAAATAGCCCAAGAGAGGTGGACAGAGAAGTTAATGCTTTTCTCCTCTATCTATAGAGTCTCTTGTATAAATCTTTTTGATTTAGATAAACAGCAACTGCTCCATGACCTAATTATTATTTTGTCTGGGGCAGGTTGAGGGAATAAATTGTAACACAAATACTTCTAAGACAAAATCAGGTCAAGACAGGGAAGAGTTTAAAATTCATTCAACCCACCTTTTCATAATATTTATTGCATCCAAAACCAAATAGTAGCAGATGTCCATGAGAGTCTGTGCAGGCAAAATGCTGCCCATCTGGTGAGAACTTGCAATCAAAAACAGCTCCATGGCCTTGGCCCTCAATCTGTACCAAGCACAGAGAATTCCTTTCACAACCAGACACTCTCTACAAGAGCATTTTCACAAACATTTCCCCTGTGCTCCAACACGTACTGAATCCTCATTCTGTGATTTCTTATCTTGCTCAAGACTGATTTACACTTTTATTTGAGTTAAACTGAATAACAAAGTAAAACTTCACGTTTTCTCTCTGTCCTGAAATTTCAGCCCAACTTTTAATGTATGTTCTGGAACAACCACCTGGAAATCTACATTTTATGTTAATGGCAGTCATAGGGCATGATCACCAAAGATCTCAGAACTGTACTGGCTCTGGAGGAATTTAATGAAATCTGCTTTTGTTTAAAGATCACTTTTGTGAAAAAAAGAAAAAAACAAACCTTCTGTGATGCTTCTTACCATGTTAAAGTAATTGCGAATTTTTGTTCCTTTGTCTATATCCCAAACAAAAATATTCCCATCGTGTCCCGCCGAAAGCACAATCCTTTGGTCAAAGGGATGAGCCTCCAGAACAAAAACTTCATCATCATGACCCTGCAATGACAGCAGGGGGAAAAAAGCAGTTTTATTTCTCCATGTGGTATCTCCAGATGTGCTGGGAGTCACTGAGAGGACATCCCAGATCAGGGAGACACACAGGACACCTCAGTTTACTGGAGCTGTGTTTGGTCACCGTTCCTGCCACAGGTTTGGCACTGCTGAGATGGGGAGGGATGGGGAGGGAAGGAGACACCAGGGCACAAATGGAGCTTCCAAAGGATTCCCAGCAATCACCAGGATCCTGCACATCAGCTCCTGTCCCATGGTGCACTCTCCTCCCAGCAGGCAGGGACAGCTGGATATTTCAACACCAAACCCTTGTCATGGGAATGGTGATGAGTTCAGCCCCAAATCCATCTCAGAGTGATCTACATCCACTTGGGATTGCCCCTGGAATTGTACTCACAGATAAGCTATGGAGAAGCTGCCCCGTGGACGAGTTCCACACTTTGAGGAGGAAATTGTTGACTGCAGTGATGACGGTGGCATCGTATCGATCCCAAGCCACCATGGTCACCTTCAGCTTGGTGACCTTGTCCTCTCCAGATGCCACATTGTTTCTAAGGAAATCAGCAATTTAAAAAGGGATAAATCAGTAACTACATATGGAAACACTTAGGAGGGCTAATTCAGTATGAAATCTGGGGGAGGATGGATCACAGGCACCTCTGTGACTCTGGCAAAGGCAGAGAATGAAGGATGGCTCTGCAGTGGTAAAAAACGAATACAGGAAATATTCAGTGCCACTGAGATTTATAGAGCTCCATTTCCTTAAAAAGGACATTTTCTCCTCTGTTCCTAAGCCATCGTCCTTCCCTACCCCAATTTTTCCTTTCAGCTCCATTAGGCTTTTTCCTACAAGGCATTTTTCTTATCAGTCATCAATATCAGTAAACTCCACAATGAGCAGGAACCTGCTAAATAAATCCAGCTCACACTTCCGACTGCAAACACTGCAAATGCAACCACTGAAATATGGAGAATTCTGCAAAGCAAGTGCCTAATGGATTTCTCCATTTCTGCTCTTGGTTGTTGTGAATATTCAATTACAATTCAATTACAGGGCACTTAAAGAAGTCACCTGAGGATCTCAAAAAGAAAAACTCAAAACCCTAATGGAACCTGAGAATCAAACACTAATTTCACCTCTTATCTGGAAACCTAAGGTAGAAATACAATGTTTAAAACCATGTTGGATATATATATATTTATTTATTATCAAATGATTACTGGGGCTCTACCTCCTTCTGTGAGATAAATCATTTGACATTCTTATTTCATGTGTAAAATACTAAATATTCCTTAACCATTAGGATAAGGAAGTACCAACAGATTATTATTTCTTTGGGGGTGAATTAACCACGACATTTTCAATAAATGCATGGAAATCAATTAGAAATGGAAGCAAATAACCAGTTTTCAATATAATGGAGGATTTAGCTTGCAGGTAAATGTGCCCACGAGGTGTGTTCTGCTTGCTCTGCTTTACCCTGTCATTTTTGTGGCCATATCCAGGACCAGACTCTTCCATTCATGCTGATGGTAGTGCCAGATTCTTGCTGTTCCATCCCTGCTTCCACTGACAAACCTTAAGCTGTGGGGCAAAGAGAAAAAAAAAAGCCATGAAATTCTGAATAAAGATGGTTTCATCCCCACATGGACACCAATAAACTTATATATATATACTTAGAAGTGTGTCCTTGTGCATCTCTACTTCTCTCACTCATGAGGTTACAATTTTCCTCTCAGATCCTGGAGGGTACAAGAGAGTTTCTAGCCCACAACATTAATTACATTTGGCTCCAGCAGCAGATGGCCTTGGAATGACTTCAATGTCGTAATTCATACGAGCTGCACATTCCCTTTTTAATGACATCAGCAAATCCCTGGAGCAGCTCAGAGTGGCAGCAAAGAAAGGGAAACTGAGTGCCAGGAGTCTGGCATAAATTATAATGCATTAACTGAGGGACAGGGTGACGACAGGCAAGGGAAAGAGCCAAATGGAGCACAAGGAGGTTGTCCTGCCTGTGGAGCTGAACAGGAATATTTTCATTTTTAAACCCCTCCTTATTTAAAAATTTCAAGTATGCAGCAAATGTATTTAACCACATCATAATGCTTTGGCCATCGATGTCACTGAAATAATTTTTGTTGAGAAACTGGGGAAAAAGCTCCTCAAGTAATACATTTTGGAAGTATATTACATTTATATACAAAATTGCACTTAAAAGGCAAATCTATTCAATTTTATGAAGTAATTGTTTCACTTTTCAGTTTCCCTGATATGATTTTTTTCACTGGGATGAAAAAGACTTTGAAAGTGCTCGTGACAAATTAATTTTCTTCTTAATTTTACCTCTTTATATTAAAATAAAAAGGAAAGTACCCCTTTTCCATTCAAAGCATTGTTAGAGAATTTAATTTTCAGTGAGTGTGTGACCTCCTTCCCTCTCCCATGGCTTGGAAGGAACTGGTGGTACAATTACCCCAGCACATTCCCATATAATTCCACATGACAAAGCTCTCCAAGTACAGGTGCACAGCTACAGTTGGGCTTGGAAGGCTCATGCCTTAAAGGCACATCCCTTAAACCTCCTGCCCAGCAAAATAAGGAATAGGAGCAAAAGCTGAGATAAAAATATCTATATTTACTAACTTTTGCTTTAGACTACATTGATTACAATACTCTTCCTCCTCAGGCAACCCCTCTGGGGGCTACCTGGGAAGGTTCTTACACAGAAAAGTTATAAAATTTGGGTTCCAATTTGCTGTTTGAAAGAAAAATCAAATTAAAAGCACAGTTACAGAACATTTTTGTTGTTACAGCAGAGGACAACGAGTTCGAGCTTGTGGACATGACACACATCTTGCAACACACTGCAATAATTTGTCCAAGATTAGGCCAAGCCCACAGGCAAATCTTCCTGTTGTGCCAAATTTTCCATGAAATGTTGTTTGGAAAATTGAATGTCATCATTGTCAGGTCCAAAACCCAGCACTCACCTGTCACCGTTGTTACAGAACTGCACTGCAACCACTTTGTCCTAAACAGGAGGGAGGAGAACAACAGAAGTGAAAAACTCAGCCTAAAACATCTCCATTATGAGATTTTTACTTAGAAAATGTAAAAAAAAGTTAAAAATTCAAGTACAGAAAAGTTGATTTGAAGTTAAAACTTCACCAGAAAAATTGTGTTAAACACTGAAATAGAAAACTTCAGAGAGGTGATGGTTTCCTGCAATTTTTACACCTAACATGAAAGTGCATCAAAAAATTTAACCTTGGCTTTATTAACACTCACAAATCATTGAGTAACAAATGTTATGTTTTAGACATAGTGTTGCCCTTTTTTTAATTTGCCCAATATTTGTGCTGGCTCCATGATTTGCTCTCCTTACTCCCACAGATGTCTCTATCTCCTGGGAACTGGGATTTGTTTTAGGGGGGGGCTGGCAGCTGTCTGCAGGATTAAGAGTGGATTTAAAGAAATTAAAGGAATTACATCTTCTTCCAAACCTGTTCAATACAGAAAATATCCTTTTCTTTTGTGAGCAAAATGCTTGTTAGATGAGTTGGCTTGGAGACTTCAATGGGAGAGCCACGACTCCCACTGAAGTTCAGGGAATCAATTTAGACCTTGGGCTTAATCCATAAAATATTCCTGAGGCAGTAAATTTTTAGTTTGAATTTTTATGGGAATCTTTCTGCATTATCTTAAAAAAAATATGCTTTTAAGCGTTATTTTCTAAATGAAGTTACCATTGTGATCCAAATTTTGACAGCACAGACCAAATTCTGAATTACTTTGTCTTATGTGGATTTAACTAAACATTCAACAGCAAGTTTAATAGGAAACAATGACATTGTGCATTAAAACTGTTTTAACTCCTCATTCCAACACAGAATTCTTTCAAGAATAAGGGAAAATTACCTGGTCCCTCAGTTTTCTGGGAATGAAACACGTGAAGCCTACTTTGCAAAAACTTCTTGCCAAAGAGGGATTTAAAAATAAACATCCAACAAATTTCCAAGCATTTAAATACCACAACGTTGAAAGCCAAACAAATTCTAGACAGTAAATAAAAAAAATAGGATGTACAGAAATCAAGCTTCTGAAATGAGGAAAAGAAGGAGAGAAAAAGAGATTTTCTTTTGGATTTGCCTCTTACCGTGTGAGATTCCAGCTCAGCCATTTTCTCTGGAGATTCTGAGCCCAAATAATAAATTCTTATCACATGGTCAGTACTCCCTGTTGCAATGAACATGCCACCTAAAACAGAGAATTCTCTGTGAGAAGAAAAGTCATCCAAGGAACAACTTATTTTAACTTCATTTATTTTAATTTGCTGCTTTCTTATCAAGGCAGCAAACTAGTTCTAAACAGAAAATGTCAATGTAAACATGCTGAATATAATATTTAAATGCAGTTTCAGTATCTGCTTGACACAGAGAAATTATTGCTGAGCTGGGATGCAGTGATTAAGGTACTTTATTGCAATTTCTTAACAATACTGCTCAAAAAGGGGACTATTGTGTGATTTACTGCATTGAAATGGGTTTAGTTACTTCAGGATTTCTGGCTTTAAAAAAGGAGTGCGACTCTACAAAAGTTCTCAATTTCAAAAAGCAAATTTAATGAGTAATTACATCATTTGCTTCGTAAAAATCAGTATTTTTGCTCATCCAAAGCTGCAAAGGAGGTTTGTTAAGCTGAGATTTTCCAACACATTGAATTGATCCTCCTAGAATTCAGCCAAATTTGGAAGATTGGCAAAAGTGTAATCTTTGGCAGAGGATTTCCACAACTTTTCACTCAAAAACTTTACAAGGTAAAGTCTTAAAAGGATGTTACAGAGAAATATTTCTGATGTGCAAAACAAGAGACTAAAAGCTTTGGAATTGGTCAAGATATTTTAGCTTAAATTACAGGAAAAAAGAGAAAGAGCAGCTTGAGGCAGACACTTCGCAGGGAAGATTTCCAATAATCACAATCTGACAGGAATAAAATTACTGGAAAAGGGTTTAACACTATTTATATTTAAAGAGAAGGAACAGAACTGTCACCAAAGCCCCAGATTCACAAAACAGCTGATGCTGGACACGAACCAGAACTGAAGGATGAACAGGAGATCTGAACACCAGGCCTGGACCTCTCTGCAAACTTCACAGGACGATCCCTACATGCAAAACACAATATTTTTATTTTTCCTTCTTTATTCAACACAAACAGTTCCCTGCAGCTCAGCAGGCTGAGGTCAACTTCATCTTAAATCTCTTAAGTTTATAATTCTCACCTAAGTTTGCTGGAATTTATTTTTCATTTTAGGAATTTCCTTCCTTAGTTTAATAAGAAAACAGTAATTCTCTGCACTGAGAAGATTACTGAACTGATTTATCATTATCCTCACCAAGTGAAATCTATTTGAAACAGACCCTGCCAAACCATTATTCCAATAGCATTTCCCCCTGATTAAATATGGATTTGATGACATCTACATATGTACATTCTTCTGATTAAAGACAAATAAATTCTTCTGCCTGTACATTTTGGGCAGGGATTTAATCCTAAATGTAAAAGCTGGAATTTCTTCCACAACTTTGGCTTGCACAAACCTCAGAAATAACAACCCCAATCTCTGGAACCCTTTGGGTTCCAACACCACAGAACCCCAAAGCGCTTCTGCCCCACACACACCAGTTTATTGAGCAAGAAAACACCCTTATTTCATTATCTCTGCATTCTCCTCCAGGCCAGAATAAAAAATGAATTCCTCCTTGAGTTCAAACAATTGTAATTATCTCAAGAGTCTCACTTGAATTTCATGGTGTTTGCATGCCACTGCCAGAAGCAGATTGTTCCGTCGGCACCAGTGGAAGTGAGGTATCGAGTTGTTCCTTTCCTTGCTGGAGAGAACTAAAAATAAAAGTTGTAACAATTAAACAAGCTCCTATTTTTTCTTCTTTCATGCTGGACACTTGTTGACAAGAATGTTTTTCACTAACACACTAGTTTCTCCCCAGGAGTACAGAGAGCAGGGGTAAGCACAGAACCTGAACTTCCACAAAAATAAAATTGAGGAAATGGACAACACCTACATTTTGGTAAGGAATTCTTTGTTTTTACCACACAAAGGAAGTTGGAGAAATGAAACTAGCCCAGACCCTGTAAATGGGGCAAAACCAGTTCTTCCTAGGATAGAACTGGATCAAACATGGCAAACACAACTCGTGCTGCATCCAAGCCCAATGAAGAACAGCTGCACAGCAGGATCCCCCCTTCTCTATCTTCCTAATTCCTGATCCTTTCTAAGGAGTGGGAAAGCTTTTTATTCTTGATTTCATAACTGCAGCAATACCTTTAATCCTCAGGCTACCTGGTAATTTGATAAAGGAATCCAGCACTGCTTCCTCAATAAGCAGTGACTGATCATATTTTAAATTTATTTTAAATAAATTAAACACTCAGTTTTACAAAGAGCTTGAGAAAAACACACACACAAACACACACACAGATATATACATATATAAACATGCAAACAAATAATATACCAGTTATAAAGCCATTTCTAACACAATCACCTTTACATGGTTGAAAAAACCCAAAACTTTAAGTGTAGGGAAAATGAGGAGAAATGAGACTGTTGGGGAATGCTGGCACGATGGAGAAGCCTCTGCTGAATCCAAGGCAGCACCACTCCAGGAGAGAGGGATTCTGAGCCAAACAGCCCCACTCACTCTCCCCTCTATGTGCATCACCTGCCAAATTGCAGGGATTGTCTTTTTCATCCTGGAATTTTGGGGTTTTTTTGAGGCTTCTTTCTGGCAGTTGTGAAGTTGTTTTTAAAGAAAATCTGCATTTGCTACAACATTCAGAGCAGCTCTTTAAGATAACAAGGAAGCGAGAAATGGGGAGTAAGGAATTTTAACTGATCCTTCTGCAAAACAAATATTCTGTGTGAACACAAGGGAGTGGGGTCAGGTGCTGTGCCAGGAGCACCACCAAAGATGCCAAACACGAGCTGACTCAAGGAGATGCTGCTGCTCTCTGAGTTGCTCTAGAAGAGCACCAGATCTCCCATTCTGTACACCTAAGGAAGCAGCAGTGGGATCACACAGCTAAAAGCACATGGAAGCAGGAGGATGATCCCCTGGGCACCATAGGACTGAGTCAAGGGAAAAATATCCTTGAGCTGGGACAAGTCACAGCCAAAACCACCAATTTTATCCTCGACCGCCACAGCTCTTACTACCATTGTAATTCCAGGTTTTAGGAGAAAACCCCATCAGTCTTCACCTGTATGGAAGTGATGGAAGCTGAGTGGCCCTGCAGGACTGCCAGGGGGGCACAGGTCCTGAGGCACCACACCCTGACCACCTTGTCACAGCTGCCCGCGGCCAGCAGCGTGTTCTCGTAGTTGACGGCCATGTCCGAGATCTCGGCCGAGTGGCCGCGCAGGGTGGACAGCAGGCGCCCGTCATCCGTGGCCCAGATCTTCACCAAACAGTCATCTGACCCCTGGAATGGCACAGAATTCCCAAAGGTTACAGGAGATATGGGATAGGTTCCATGCATGTCACACACGGATCACTGCGGATGGACAGGGAACACAACCCCCATGAACCGACAGGGCAACTCTGTGGGATCCTGTTGGGAATTTAGCTGCTAAGGACTGGAAAAGTACAAAACCGTGGCTAATTCCAAGTCCTGCACCTGCAAGATAGCATGTCCTTGGGACTAGCTGTAGTAGGATAACAAACAGTGAAAGAGACATGAGAAAAGAGAGATGTAACGCCTAAGGAATGAGGAAGAGTTCATGGTATAGTTTAACCAATAGATTGCTTGGCTTACAGAATATTCATAAGCTTATTATTTGCTGTATAAGTGTTTGATGCTTTCTTCAATAAACTGGACCAGAAAGACCTGAGGGACTGGGATCGGACTGGACCTGAGGGCCTGTGATGAACCAACTGGTGTCCTGGTCCCCTTCCTTCAACAGGATCCCACTGAGGTCCAATTTGAGGAAGAAATTCTGCCCTGTGAGGGTGGGCAGGCCCTGGCACAGGTGCCCAGAGAAGCTGTGGCTGCCCCTGGATCCCTGGAAGTGTCCACAGACAGGTTGGACAGAGCTCAGAGCACCCTGGGCTAGTGGAAGGTGTCCCTGCCCATGGCAGCGGTGGGACTGGAAGACTTTGAAATATTCCAATTCCCATCCAAACCATTCTGGGATTCTATGATTCTATGAAATGTGGAGCCTGGGGATCATCATATGGAGTCAAGGATTTCAATTTGATAAAAGAGAATCATGGAATCACAGGATGGATTATGTTGGAAATGGATCTATTTGGAAGGCAGGGACACTTTCCACTGTCCCAGGTTGCTCCAAGCCCCATCCGACCTGGCTCCAGGGATGGGGCAGCCACAGCTCTGTGGGCATCTTGTGCCAGGCCCTCAGCACCCTCATAGAGAAGGATTTCCTCCCAATATCCCACCTAACCCTCTCCTCTGGCAGTGGGAATTCCTCCTTGTCCTGTCACTCCATGCACAGGGATTAACATCAACAGCTAAAAATGCAACACTCATTTGAAAAATCTGCTGATTTTTATTTATGCCCAACAAAAAGCAAGGGCATCACCACAGAAATGGATGTCGCTGCATTCTGGAGAAAAATTTAAAATAATTGTCACTGACACACCACAAATCCAGGAAGGTAAATTTAGTAGAAAAGCAACTTGCAGCTGAACAAAGTCACATCTCCATCTCAATCCATGACTGTTGAGGAACTCAAGAGAGAAAAAAATCAAACCAAACAAAGCAATGTTCACAAAGAAAAAGGTCCAGATTTTAAACTTACTGTAAAAATTCTCCTGCCACTGCGATCGAAGGCTATGCAATAAACAGAGGAGAGGTGCCCCAAAATCCTCTTGTGCATCTTCATGTGTTGGTAGGTGGATGTTGGGAACAAGTGGCTGAAACGGCCACATCCAGTTAATTGCCTGGCAGAAAGGATATGAACTGGGAGGGAAAAAAGAAGCAAAAAGAAGAGTGAGACAGGAATTTTGTCCAGAACTCAGAGTAAATAAATATTAAATCAAATATAGTATTTATTAATGACTTTATTATTAGAATCAGCAATAAATCTGAAACTCTTCCACCTTATCAGAACATTCTGTCCAGTGTTATAAAAAGCCTTTCAGTACCCACCACAGGCTGCACCTGCTTCCTTACCAAAAATACAAGCAGAATTAAAAGTTCCCACCACAACTGGGAGGTATTCCAACATTCAAGAACAGGTAACAGATACATTTATCCTACATGGACATGGAAAATCTTTAAGGAAAATCTTTGAAGGAAGAAAGGAAATTTAGGAAATTACATGTTACTAGTATCAATTAGGAAAAGAGTATAATAGTTTATTTTAAGTGGGGTTTTTTGTGATAAAATAAGTGATAAAAAGTGATAAAAATCTTTCTTTGGAATGGCTTTTCACATCTGAGGGCCAAAGGACTTCCACATCCACATCTTTGCATTCCCACGGCAGTGGAATTGAAGAACAGGACACAGGTGGCACTGATGGAAAACTCCCAGTGGAGGAATGGCAGGCAGGAGACAGAACTGCAACCACAACAAACTCCTTCTTGTTTCCATGGCCAGCAGCCCTTCCAAGAACAGCCTAAAACCTGAATGCACCAACCCACCCTGCAAAAAAGCCTTTGGATGCATAATCTGAGACCATTTTGGGGTATTCAATTCCACCAATTCTCTCCTATTTCTATTTTCCCGAACCTATCCTCACTCACAGCACTTGAACTTTGGATTTGGAAGTTTTGAGAGGGTTTTTCAGAGGCACTTGAGGATCTATCATTGCTGTGCTGGTGGGTTTGTGGAGTCCCTGTGATAGCAGATCCCCTGGAGCAATTCCTTATCTTCCCCTGCACCTTGATGTGGGCTGGGCTTCACAGGAGCCCCACAAAGCTCTTTAGTGCCTTTCACTCCTTCAGCTTAAAACTCTAGTGAAAAACTCAAGCCATTTCTTAATTGTCTCATGATATCACTGCCAATCTACCCAAAAAAAAGATCATGGAATACGTTAAAAAATTAATCTACAAAGTCAAGAAGTGCCATTTCAAAGAGTTCCTAACCCGTAACTCCCGGTGTAAATTGATACCATTGAAGTATTTACACACAAGCAAGGAAAAGAAATTGTTTCCGGCTTTAAAGAAAGCATTTTTGTGACTCAGTTTTAGGCTCTGAAATGTGGATTATTTTTAATCACTCAAAGCAACTGAAACATGACACAAGGGAAAAAAAGCTGCATAAAAGATGCTTGCAAAAGCCATCAGGCTCCAGCATAACCTCACCTTCAGTCAATATTTGCTTTGCATGTAAAAACACACATTCAGCAATACTAAAAAGCAAAACACACTAAAGCAAATTAATTTACTACTTACCTACTATTCAATTGATACCTAATATTACACAGGGCTGTTAAACCAAACTGTCACCCTGAGCAAAATAAAATTTTATATTTTATAAATTTTATATTTTCCCTACCTCTAACACAGAGATCACACAGTGATAAATGCTCAAGGTACCTCAGCTTTGCCTACACGTTATTTTATTTACTCTTTGAGTATGACAGCTTAAAAGCTGAATTCTTAAAAAGATTGCACCTCCCTTTCCCTACCCTGTGTGCCAACAGAGACGTGGAGTCATTCAGCAACATGGTGATTCTGCTGTGCCTTTCAAGGTTTCAACCATTTCAATACATATATATTTATATATTTATATATTTAAACACATAATAACAGTGTATCTGCCTGTAAGCAATTTCAAATGGCTTTGAATGTTTTTTTAACCACACAAAGAACTGTGTGAATCAAAAAGATATAATCTCATGTCAAAATATTCCTTATAATCACAATGTTTTCTGTGTCCCCCTGCAATGTTTCTGAGCATTTACCACTGCTGTTTGTTGTAAATCCCATGAAGGAAGCACCAAAAGGCACGAAAATCCCACAATTTTTGGCACCTCACTTTTCCGGTCGATTCCCAGCCTTGCAATCAGTTCAGCTTCAGCGGATATGAAAGTAATTTCTTTTTTTTTTTTTTCTATGTTTATTTCCCTATTTGCACAATGGGGATAAAACTTCTCCATCTCCCATGGATAATTACCAAATAAAAAGCCCTGTTTATGAAATGCTTCAATCAGAGACACCCAGAACTATTGTCGAGCCATGAGGAGCAACAACTTTATCAAGGCAACAGCATCTTTGGACAAAAAAAACCCTATCACTGCTTCAAAGGAACAAAGCAAACATTCTCCATTCCTGTATTTTTAGGAAGATTAATACACAATATCTAAATAGGGAATTACCCCCACATGACAAAAATCCCTGTCAAGTTTCCTTTCTACAGCACAATGAAGTTATTGTCCTCCTAAGGCCCCAAAGTACTAAAACCCAACAATTCCCATATGGAGAAATAGCAACTTAGTAACCCAAAAAAATTTTACTAACCTATCTCATTAACTGATGTATTTCATGCCACACTGGATGTAAGAGCTGCCAAGTCCACCCCCTCACTATTCCCTGCCAGGAAAAACTTTCAAGACAGTTATTTCCCATTAAAAGGGAGGAGATCCACCCTTCTTGATAAGAAAAGTTAATTTTGTCCCAATGCTGAAGGGCCACCTCAGCTCCTCCAACTACCAACTTGTGAAATACAGGCATTTTTCTCTTTTTGTGGTCCTGGAAGGCCACACCTTGAGGAAAACTGCAGTGCTTAAAAGCTGTCAATGGCAATTCCCAAATCACAATTTAGCTCACATTCTACTACAGATAACAGCACAATGTAAGAACCCTTGCAAGAAAGCTCACCTAGGAAGGATAAACCCCAAACCCAGCAACAACAACCCACCAGTGAAAACTGGATTTAAAAAACAATCGTCAGACAAAGCCCAGACTTCAAAGTTAAATCACAACCTCAGAAGGAATTCAAGCATTTCAGTAAGGCAAAGTCACTGAGCAGCACCAGCTGGAATTCCTGTTCTCCCTAGAAACCTTGTCTGGATTCACTTTTTGCAAGGAAAATTAGAAAATGGGAAAACTGGTGCAAATGTCTGTTTTAAAATCAGTTTCTCAGGGGTGATGAGCTCCCATCAGACTGTTTCCCCCTTGCAAGAAGCAGTGTGACTTTGGAATGAGGATCTGGATTTTGCCTTCATCACAAACCCGAGCAGGGATCGGGTGCCACTCCCAGGAGAGACACAAAGCCTCACAGGAATGCCAGCACACAAACAGAGCTGGCTCCCACATGGAAAACACCTTCTCAGAGAGTGCCTGTGGGGCCACAAAGAGCCTGGACCCAGGAAAAGCACTGAAAGCACAGCTTGTTCCAGCTCTGGGCGCTGCTGACCTCATGGAACTCATTTCCAGCACAACCACCATCGATTCCTGACCTCATCCCTCATCCCAGCGCTGCTCCTTGGCAGGCCCAAGGTACCTGCACCACCTTGGCTGTGAATTTCCACCCAGCTGAAATGCTTATTCACTGAGACTGTGCTGAAAACCCTCTGCTTCCAAATTTTGTGTTGTTTTCACTAACAACAGCTGCCCACTGAAAGATTTCCATCCTCAGGTTAGAGCAGCTCTTAAAGAGTGAAAATAACTTTCTTTCTAATCTGCTCTGAGCTGCCTGCAATAAAAATAAAAAAAAAAGCCCTGACAAAACCGAAGTAGCATCAAAAGCAGGTTTATCAAAGGGGAATCACTCCCAGTCCTGAGGTACTGCATGACCAGTCTTTCCACTTTCTGTCTGGGAGAGCACAAAGGGAGCCCTGAAAGTTCCACTACAGCAAAATCTGCCCAGAAAGGCTCGAGCAGAGTCTCCTCCTCCTCCTCGGCATCCTGTTGGCAGCAGGAAGCTCTGCCAGGGTTTTCCCTCGTGTCCCCCTCCAGCAGATCACCACAGCCCTGGGAATGAGCTCCACAGCTCAGCACTTTCCCAGAGACTCCCCCAGCCAGAAGATGCCCAGCTCTGCACAAACGCGCTGGGAAAAGGCAACAAGGATTTCCTGCTCCAGTTCCACTGTGCAGGACCTTTGATTTTGGATTATGGACCACAAGGTCCCATCCCAACCACATGGAAAGGAAATCACTGCAATTCCCAAGTCCTGCAGGTGGGCCCTCCCAGTTAATCCCATCAGTGACCCCCATTCTGTCAGAACTGATGGTGGAAAGATTAAATCCTTATCAATGGAAGGGAAACGTTGTGAGAATACTCCTGGCTGCTCATTCTGTACCTTCTTTATCCCTCTGCACAGGTACTTAAACAATCATCTCTCCTGAGTACACGTTAATGGGAGTCTTTTACTTCAGCCCAACTCCTTCAGCAAGTTAATTCCAGAAAAGTCCATGTGCCTGAGCCAGCACAGTGTGGGAATTCACAGTTATGCCAAAATACCAAAGAGGTCGGGCACACTTCATCCTGTACTTAAGACACACACACTGCAGCATCTCTGGCTGGCACCACTCACCAGGGGAAAAAACACCCATTTTCCACAAATACACAAAGAATTTTCTGACTTCCTCTTCAGGATGCACAAGGAATCCCAAAATCAAACTGCTGCCTGAAGTAAATTCCTTATTTTAGTATTTATGTACACTTTCCTCTCCTCGTAGTAGTTTATGTAGCTACACCAAGGACTGTATTCTTCCAGGAATCAATACCTATATAAATTATTTCCTGGCTATGAAAGACCCTTTTCCATATAATACCTTTGCATTTCTTAAAAAAAAGAAACAATTATTAAAACATCCAAACAAAACAATTGTTCTGTTCTTTAATTCACTAAACAGTTACCAAGCAAGCAGCACAGTCCTTTGCCATGAAAGCATGACAAATGCTGAAGTCCAATCTGCCAGGATGCATCATTAATAATACCACATATTCCAAAAACACCCAGTCTGATGAAAGAATTGATCCAAGAATCCGTGCAGAAATACAACCAGAGGAGTTGTGTTCAATAAATCTGCAATTCAGACTATTAGTAATCCATCAGCACAACTGCTTGCAGTAAAGTAACTGCAGAACCAGTCTAAAATAATAAATACAGAGATAGAAAACTGCCAGCACCATCCCTGCTTCTCCAAAGGGAGGAAGGATTCATAAGTGAAAGGGCATCCTGACAAAGCAGGAAAATGTATCCATTTGCACAGAGATAAAATGCCCTAAAAAGAAACAAACCAGGATTTACTTTTATGCCTGCAAGAATCTATTTTTTTTTTGCTATAAAAGCAGTTAATGAAAGTTCAAACCATACAAGGCAAACACTTGAGTTTATATAAAACAGAGCAGCTCTGTGATGAGATGTAAGCTGAGAGCCCACATATATCTGAGTTTTATACAAGTTCTTTATCTAATTGTGTGGACAACTGAGGCTGAAGGAACACAAATGTTGCTTTGGTGATTATTTCCTTTTTGGAGAGGGATGTTGCAAGCAGTCTGTTTTCTGTCATAATGGAACTGAAAGGAATTCTTGAGTCAAAGAAGCTCCCTGGGAGCCAGACGCTTTGCTCAGGCCAGGATTCCATGATGATTCCAGGATCCCATGCTCCTGTGACCATGCCCATCCAATCTTACAACCACATGTACATATTATGGAGGCATATCATAAAAAAATACTCCAAACAACCAAAACATGGCTACACACACTGTGGAAAATCCAAGTCTGAATAACACAAAAATGATCCTATTGTCAGGGAGAGACCTATTTTAGATTAATTCATTATGACATGTCAGAGAAAACATGAATGCAAACCCAGAGTAGTGTTTTAGTCAGTGAGAGGCACTTTCTGTGGGGCAGGAATCAATACAGAGAGGAGAAAAGGAGCTTTTATGGACTCGCAGACTCACCCACGTTTGGTGGCTTCCCGTAGTTCACCGGCAGTTCGGGGGGTCGGCCCCTGTGCAGAGCTGCAAATGCAGATCCTTTCCATAGCGTGTGTCTGAAGTCTGCACCAGTGACAAGGGACAAGAAATAATCAATACATTAAATAGTCAAGAGATCAAGCACCACTCCCACCAGCCCAGAGTAAGATCTGTCTGACTGAACACTTTGTCAGATTCCTCATTAAAAGACTGCCACTCTGATTTCCAGTTCCCCAGCAGTGTCACTGTAAATGGTTTCAACTTATTTTTGCTTAATTTGGAGGATTATTGACTCTAAATCCATGGAGAGAAAAAGTGAATTTAAAAGTGGGTGAACTTTCTATTGAGGCCCAACTGAACTCTGCCATGTTTTCCTTCTGCAATGCCGACACTTAAAGCACCTCTGCTTAGGAACTGCACATTTGAGATTTCACATTTTGCTGCCTAAAAGTGAGAGAAGTGAGGGTTTTTTCCAATAAATCTGTTTTCCTGCAATATGTGGCAATGTGCCCTCCTTTCAGATTTTCCTCTGCACCCCACCCCCCAAAAAAATCATTGTTTTAAAGTGAGGACTGTTCTCTTTAAAGACTCTCCAGCCTGCTGCTGCCAACTGGCCTCAGAGAGGCTCCTCTCTAGAACAATAGTGATTTTTCTGAGACTGTTCAAAGTGCCTCAGAAATTAGACCTGGATTTCTTCCATTTCTGGCCATCTGGAGGGAGAGAAATGAGCTTCCACGGTGAGTAAGTGCTGAAACAGAAGGACAGTGCCGCAGGTCGGTGGATCTGTGTAGCACCGGGTAGGTCTCTGAACACAAAGTGCACAAGCTGAGGTGACTCAGAGGCTCCTGAGAGCACCTTCTGATTAAACCCCAAACTGCTGCACAGACTATTAAATGATACTCATTAAAAACAGCACTCAGACTTCCTAAAATAGATCCATCCACCTAAACCCTTCTGTTCCCCTGCAGAAAAATGTTTATTTTCTCTTTACATTTTGCTGCTGTTTGCTTCTAAGCTGCAAACTGAGTGTGAAGGGAAGGAATGTTTCTCTGCAAACCTGAATTTCTGCACCTAATTACAGCAAAGCAGAGGCAAAACAAGACTCAGTCCCAACACTCTGTAGGGCAACGTGTTTGGGAACAGCTCATCCCTCCAGGAGATACCCAATGGATCAGCAGATGCTGGTCAGCATCACGGTGTGACTTCACAGGATGCAGGGAATTAAGTGCTCAATTGCCACCAAAACAGGAAGGTCCTGCTCTGCCGTCCCTCCTCCCCTCCCAGGACGATGCTCCTCCTCCTGTGTCACCTCCAGCCCTGTGATCCTTTTCCACCAGCTCATTTAATTCACTACAACAAAATCTTGCAACATCCCAGCTCTCTGAATCAGCACATCAGAGGATCAAGGAAGTTCTGGCTCCTGCAGGGAGGAAGTGGCAGGGGCATGGAGTGAGGAGGGAAAGGAGGAATCACTTCAATAGCAGATGGCTCTCAGATCTCTTTAGTTCTAACACAAAACTGCTCTCAGGATCATTCTCTCAAGCAGAGAGAGTTTTTCAAAGGGAAAAGGACTGGTGCTCTCTTCATGAAAGGAATGGGGGCTTTTAAATTAACTTGAAGCAGGAATTGTCACTGAAGAATCAGCCTGGCCTTCTGCTACTCCCTAAATGCTGCCCCAAATGCCACCACCCTGTCCTGGGTCTGCACAGGCAGGGAGTCAAAGAATGGAAAAAGCCAGGCTGAAAAATAACGCAGCTCAGTGGTTTTAGACACAGATGTGTGTAAATGTATATGGAAAAAATGGAATTTTTCAGATGCATCAAACCCCTAATCCCATTCACATCATTTACACAAACACCAACACACTGGGGAAGGAGGCAGAGGAAGTAATAATATCAGGCAACTCTAGGCAAGAATTGCTTAAAATGGCATTTTCAACCCAAGAAAATAGATCCAACAGGGCCACCAACAACTGCATTTTAGGAAGAAAAAAGCTGGCAAGCACAGGAGACAAAGCAGGGCTAAAGCAAACACACAGATATCCCAACAGGAATGGCAACAAAAGGGGGTTAATCATTAAAACAGAATTCAAGCCCAGATAAATTGAGATTCTCACCTTTTGCTGCCCTCAGGAGAGACTGGCGCCCAACACCCAGCAAAGTCTGCACCCCCAGCACACTCTGGGGGATCTCCTTGTCCAAGAGGGGTCCAAGCCTCTCACAGATCCTAAGAAGATAATCTGGGGGGATGTGTGCATTGACAGCCACCTAAACACACAAACAACACAGGCATTTGAAAACTGCTTTATTTTTCCTTCTACTGGCAGCACTTTGCTTCATATTTAGGTGTAAAGTTACTGCAACCAAGCCTAAGCCCCTGAAAATCCCCTCAACATTCATTATACTGCATTTTAAAGTGATGTGGAGTGTTGCAAAAGCCACACCAGAAATTTCAGGCTGTAACAGCTTAATTGTAAATTTAGGATATCCCTTAACAAGAAACAAAAATCCCCAGTGCAGTGCTCTGCTCAAACAACTTTTTTAAAGCCCTTTTTACCTTTCAGTTCATTCTCTTCCCATCTTTCGCTTAACTGAAACACCCTTGCATTGACATCACTGCATGAAGCACATGTGCAAAAGAATAAAAACCTTAAAAAATTACCTAAAATCCCTAAAATCAATACTCAGTCTCCAATTCCCCGCTCCTGGGAGTAGGTATCTTTAAGACCCACATGTCTTAAAGATTTTGTCATGTTGGGAGAACATCCTTTATTTTTCCCTTTGGACAGAGACTGAGTGACAACAGTTTTTCTGCCAGTCTGTTCAAACAACAAACAAATTGTGCCTCATTATCCAGAATGTCCTGCACTGCCTGACTCCCATATTTACAAACTGGCAGGAAAAGCTCTGCCCGTCAGAGCTCCTCTGACACAGCACACACAGCTCAACCCACCTCTGCCCATGGATCAGGTGCCAGGGATGTGCCCAGCTCCTGCCCCTGCACACCAGAGGGAGGGAGTGTCAGGCATCAGGAAGGAGGAAAAGGTCTGTAATTCCCTCAGCCCTGCTGCCAAAACATTGTTCACTGTGTCATCCAACAGATTATTAGCACATGTTGCTGGGAATTTTTTTATTCTAATTGGGCAACAGCAGTGGAGCTACAGGACCCAGCACAGCCAGGCAGGGCTGGATACTGTCACCACCTGCACCATGAGATGGATCAAGACTGTCCCATAATTCAGATTTTAACCAAAAAGGGAAATATATCTAATTAAATATACAAATTACCAGTTAATTAAATATGACTAAAACCAGTTAGTTAAATATGACTAAAACCAGTTAATTAAATATGACTAAAAACTCTTCCAATGTGAATGGAACTCTTGGAGGAGAGACAGGTTCCTCCCTCTACTCATCTCTCAGTCACTGCTGGTTAAAGAATCATCTCATCAATCATCATGATTCTAAGGATCCAGAATCATCATTTTTTCAGTGCAGGAATGAGAAGCCTGATGAATGCATTGCCATGTTCTCATTCCAAGACTTTCCATCCTGTGAGAGAGCACCAAGGAATGACCCTGTGAACGCTCTCCTGCACTGACAGGGTTCTCCAGTCATTTCAGCTTTTTTCCCTAAAACCAGAGTTCTGAAATTATATCAGCACCTTCCCAGTGGTACAACCAGTGAAGTTCAGTGTATGAGCATGGATTGTGTCTCACTGTAAATGATGGGATATAACAGAAGTTTAAATGAGAGAAAAGGATTATCCAAACTTTGGTATTTCCCTCTTATTCTGACTCATTCCTGAAACACTGTAAATATGCTTATGCTACAAAATAATTTACAATGCTGCAGTAGTCTCCCTTCAGTGTGTAAGATTCCTGAAAGGGAAGTTCTAGAGAGAGAATCTGCATTTAAGCAAAATCTGAATATGAAATTCTTATTTCCATCTCTGATAACCAGCAACAAGCCCCTCAGTCACCAATGGCCAACAGTGATGTATCGACCTTAAGGTTAAAAGATCAAAAAGACCAACCTAGAAGCTCTGAAGTTTTACTTCCAGAGCACCAAAAACCCCCAAACCATACCATTCACACTGGAAATGTAAAAAATCCAAACCATTTTCCCAGTGTAGCACAGCAAACACTGCCCTGTTCACCCTGGAGCTGGTTTGGCAGTTTCACCTTATTCCATGCCTAGGAAGGTGCTGAATTAAGGCTGGCAGCAAATATCCCACTGCAGAGACAGAGCCCAAGGTGCTCCACAAGCACTCCTGACTACCTCCAAAATGGAAAAGGACTTTGTGGCTCAAAGATGAAGGCACAATTTTATCTGGAACAGCAAAGAGCAAACACTGACACACGTGGGGCCTGACAGAATTCCCTGATCTCACTTCTTTCTTTCCCTGCACATTTCCTTGTTTCTACAACCCACAACAGCCCCAAATAAGCAGCCCTTAATCTGAATATTAGCACTGCTGTTACTAACAAACAGCTCCATAGGCAGGCAGCAAGAGCAGCAAATTCTCCTGGTGACTTTTTTCCATAATAACTTTCAGAAAAAAATGCTTAAATCACAGCCCAGAGCTAAACAAGCAATTCTATTTTCAGGTTCCCAGAAGAAATTGAATCAAAAATCCTTCTTTTCACCTCTGAGAGAGTTGTAAATGGATTTTAAGTATTTTTCTAGAACATGAAAGCTGCAAACATCCAGCTGAAAAAACCAACATTTCCCAGATCAGATTTTCCTTAAAAGAAGGATGGAAAAAGGCAAAGGTACAGCTACACCTCTTAGTGTGTGCTTGTCCAAATCCCACGTGGCAAAATGAAACAGCAGCAAGGATATTACCAGCTCCTCCAATATATTAGAAAATATTTTGAAATATAATTAGAAAATATTTTAGAAAATAATCAGAAAACTGAAAAAAATTAGAGATGAGTAATACAGGCCCAAACCATGCATGTTAAAATAACGCAGAGCTGAAAACGTGCTAAGTGAGAACAAATGCTGCATCTTGGGATAAATCATAAAGAAAATATGGTTTGTTGCCTTAGGATGTGAAAAATCCTATAAAAGTTAAAATATGAGAGCACAAGAATGCAATAGAACCAGATGAGTTCTCTGACACAGTAACCACACAGGTACAAGGCATCTAAAAAGTGAAAGATTAAGTGAAGCCAATCTATCCTTTTTAAAAAACTCTCCCAGTCCTGACTGCTTGAGCCAGGCTGAGATAAGCTGCTCCAGTGATAAGCACAAGGAAAGAACTATTAGTGAAGTCACGTCAGGGCTGGGAGAAATTCAACCCCTGAACCTGTTCGTGGTCCTGGGGCTGGAAGCATCACTCAGAGACCATGAGCTGGGACAAGAAGTTCTGGATCCCTGAAACCAAATCCCCTGGCGTGACTCTGATCCCTGTTTGGACAATGCTCTCAGGCACTGGGTGGGATTTTTGGGGTGTCTGTGCAGGGACAGGAGCTGGATTTGATGATCCTTGTGAGTTCCTTCCAAATCAGGAGTCTGTGATTCTACAGCTGTTGACAACTCCTCCTCCAAGGAAGGGAACAAACAACCCAAAAAAGACTCTTTGTGATTACTGCTTAAAGTAAGATGTTTGTTTTGACAGAGATGGGAACCAGGGAGCTCTGGGAACAATCTCTTTTGGGAAGCCCAGTGGAACATCTCCCCAAAGCACGGACTGGAGGCAGGAGCTGCAGACTGGAACATGGCAGTGACGTGGCCCTTGGGAGGCTGCTCTGTCCCCATTCCTGCTGGGCAGGCCCAGCTGGGTCTCAGCACTGGATTTCTCTCCTCCAGGTAGTCATCCAACACTTCCTTCATTTGCCAAAATAACCATCAGTTAAGAATCCATTGACAACTGTATCAAAAAGCAATGGAGGAGGCCAAGAGGCCCAGGCAGCTGAGCAAGCAGGAAATTACTGACAACCTCAAATAGAGAATCTCAGCAAAAGGAAGCTCAGACACTGGACCTGCACAAGATGCCATCAATATGCAAATAGACTGGAATTAAAAAAGCCTTTACCCACTGGGGTCCCCAGAGAGAACAGGTTGGAACAACCATGCTACAGATGACATTTTCCTGAGGTGACAAAACCATAACATCTCTGCTCTGCTAATGCTGGGATTGGCAGGATCTATAAATACCAGCACCTCGGACTCAGGGCTAGTTTTAAATCAATGCAGATGGGCAAGGCAGGAACTCGGAGCCAAATCCCATAAGCTGTTCCATACCAGCACAGCCGCTCATGGATGCAAACTCCCCACTCTCCAACAACAGCTGATTTTCTGTTTTGCCTGGAATTACGTGTTTTTCAGCACAAAGACCAAACCAGGCTGAGCCAGAAGACTCAGCCCATCAGAAAGTTCTTAAAACCAGAGCAGAGCCAGTCACCTTTATCAGGAATAAACAAAGATAATGTGGAACAGCAGGTCACTGGAGACTGTGCTGATAATCGGAGTCGTTCAGCTCGACTCATCTGTAGAGCAGCTGACTCCACACCGAGCTGCTGTGGCTCATTTAAACCAGAGCACTAATTGCCTGCAAGCTGGACACACTTCAGACCTTCAAAAGGCCGGGCTGGACAGGGCTTGGAGCAACCTGGTCCAGTGCAAACCTGCCCACTGTAGGGATGGAATGGGACGGGTTTGAAGGTCCCTCCCAACCCAAACCAGTCTGGGATTCTGGGATTCAAGGACCCTCCCTTTTACAAACACGTGTCTCAAGACCACCAGTGAGAAAATAAAACCATTGTGGAGTACACCTGGAGAATTCAGAAGAGGGAACTGAGGGGAGTCATTGGGGGCTGCAGCTCCTGCTGAGGGGCAGCGCCAATCTCTCTCCCTGAGAGAGGGAACAGCACCCAGGAATGGCTGGAGCTGTGTTAGGGACATTGAGGTGGAGATCAGGGAAAGGTTCTTCCCTCAGAGGGTGTTTTGGCACTGAAAAGGCTCCCCAAGGAATGGACACAGCCCCAAGGCTCCCAGAGCTCCAGGAGGGTTTGGACAATGCTCACAGGGTGGGATTGTTGGGGCGTCTGTGCAGGGCAGGAGCTGCACTGATGGTCCCGTGTGTTCCTTCCAGCTCAGGACACTCTGTGACTCTGTGATTACCCAGACACATGCTGCAGGCAAAAAAGTGTTCCAACGTGAAAATAAACAGGAAAAACAAAGGGAACACAAATGCACATAATCTTGCATTCCATGTGGTTTTGCTCCATAGGTACAATTCTTATTAGCGTGTCTTAAATTACTCGTCTGCCCTGTGATACCTGATATTTAAAGTAAAATATTAAGTTTATTAAAAAAAAAAAAAAAGGAACAAAGGAATCTCAGTGAGCTTTCAGATTCTTGCCTAAAAACTCGAGTGAAGTGGGAGTAAACATTCCCTAGATAAAAACCATCCAGTGGCCATTGGGCTGCTCCATCTTTATCACTCCTAAAAGCCCAGGAGCGGTAACAGCACACTCAGTGGTTACAGTATTGGCACATTTTCTGAAAAACACCACTCAGAACCTGAACAGCCACACTGAGGATGGAAAACAAAGCTGAACAGAACAAGAAATACTCTGTCTGAATATTGGGCACACAAACAAATCAGACTTCTCTGGGTTGTAAACTCTCACAAATTCAATTATCTGCCTGACCAGAGTAGCTGCATCACCCAGCTGAGATTGTAAACGATTTTGGGTTTCTGGCTGTAAAAAGCAGAAATGGGTTGAAAAAAGCCCCTTTACCTCCAACTGCTGGCATCTCCAATTTAATTTTGGTTCATTATGTGCCTGAGATAATTAAAAAGAAGGTTGGAGTGCTCTGTGTCCTTCATAACCCTGGATCTGTTCTGAACATGGCATTCAGACATCCAGCCAGCCCTGAAGTCGAGGAGCTCAGGTTAATAAACAATCATATGCAGCCAAAAGTCCAAATTCCAAACACAGCAAACCCTAAGCAACGAGGGAGAAAAGGCCCTTCTTCAATATCCTTAACACTCTGAGAATTCAGACAGAAACTCAGCTCATCCCACCTGGCATCAACCTGTAATGATTCATTCATAATCCTGGTGCTTACTGTAAACCATGAGAAACAGTCAAATAATACTAGATAAATGGGCAAACTAAAAGCATGGGTTAGTGCTGATTAGTTTAAGACACAGGGAAAAAAAATCTTAAATTCAATTATTATATGAGTTTACACAGAAATAAGAAATTTCCCATTAACTCCAAAACTCACTTCAAAATGGTTTTTCTCTCGTTTCTGAAATGTTAAAGAAAAGTACATGTTCACACACATATTTAAAAAAAAATTAAGGTTTTAAGGCTTTTATATATGTGCTACAGAGAATGAAAGGAAAAAAATTATATGTTAATCAAAGGGATATGCAAAACTACTCTGTCTGACACCAGACTGCACAGTGGCACTGCTAATATTCTTCCTGGATATTGGGTGCAGTACCACACTAAACCTGAGACAGCCCACAGCTAGATTTCAGATTCTCTAGGAATACCATAGAGTACCAAAATCTATTGAATGCAGAACTTATTTTATGTCTGCTCACTCGATTTACAGTCCCAGAATTATCCACAAGAGGTGTGAGGAAGCCCAGCTTCCACCTGAAATTCTGCATAGGCTTTAGAAAGGGAAAGGCAGCTGGTCCAAAGGTCTGCTCTGGGCACAAAGAGTTCTGTCCACACCTGAGCTTCTACAATATTGCTAAAGTGGCAAATCAGCTCCCGAGCCAGATGCAGAGGAGTATGAGCAACAGCCATGGCAAAATCCCACGTCACTATTGCTCCATGGGAGCGGGAGAGGCCAGGACGTGCTTCCCATTCCTGGCAGGTGAGTGCCAGCGCTGGGCACAGGTACCAGGGCTACAAACGCTATTGGGGAAGTTTACAGCCGTCCAACTGCAAAGTGCTACATCAGCGCCACACGTCACTGCCCAGAGCTCCCAGAAATGAAAGCAAGGCCGCCCGGACCCTTTGGAAAAGGACTGGAACAGCTTCAGTTTTGTCACTTTCACACAGACACATCTCGAGGTGCGGGGCCAAGGGCCACCCCCCAGCCCCGGCCTTGCGGAGGGACTGACCTTCCTCAATGACACACATTCAAGGGTTCAGCACTTAGCCAAAACAGCCACTCGGTGAATTTCACCGGCATTTAACAGCCACAACACCACACTTCCTAACCCCTCCTTTCCTGCCTGACAGCAGGCCCAGACGCCGCGGAGAGGGGCGGGTTTCGCGCAGGCCGCCGCAGGCCGGGAATCCCTGACCCAGCCCGGCAGCGCCGGGCCCGGCGGCACGTCCGGCACGTCCCCTCCAGCCGGGCCACGGCAGCGCGGCCGAGCCCGGCCCGGAGCGGGGCAGCCCCGGGGGCGCGGGCGAGGCGGCGGCGATGGCGCGGGGGAACCGGGGGGGACCCGAGCCCCGCGCCCCCCGCCCCGCCGGCTCCGCCGCGGCGCCGCCGCAGCCAATCAGGGGCCGCCTCACATCGCCGCGCACCGCTCCCCGCGTTGTAAGGCGCAGCGCCATTGGCCGCGCCGGGCCCCGGTGCGTGCCCTCGGATAACCCCCGGCCCCACAATAGCGCGGCGCGGCCGCTCCGCCGGTGCCACCGGGCGGCCCACGGGGGTCTCACCGGCAGCCCCCGGCCCCGTCGCGCCTCCGCCCCCCACCCGCCCCTCCGCTCCGCACCCCGCGGCCCGCCGCGGCCTCAACGGGGCGCAGCCCGCAGCCCTAGTGGGGGGGGAAACACACACGGGGCGAGGGGGGGGACGCGGCGCCCGGTGCGGCGGCGGCGCGGGGGGCGGAGGGAAGTTGTCGGAAAAGTCAAGAGTGAAACTTGTCTCACCAGGTCCTCGAAGCTCCGGCGGTGCTCCTTGCCCTGCCAGTCCAGGCGCCGCGGAATGAGCTGCGGGAGGGACACGGGGACGGGGGCGGCCGTCAGAGCCCGAGCGACCCCTCCCCGGGGATCCCCCCCCCCCGGTACCCGCTCGCGCCCCCCGGGATGGAGCCCCCCGGCCGCTACCCCCGGCCCCGCCGCGGGGCAGCCGCGCTCCCGCCGGGTGTCCCGGGCGGAGATGGGCTGGGTTAGACGGGGCAGGGCAAACGCCGACCCCGCCGTCCCGAGGGCTTCCCCCGTCCCGCCGGGGCAGGCGCCTCACCTGGTGCTCCTCCAGCTCCTCCACCAGTACCTGGGGACAGAGGGACACACAGACACACACACACAAAGGACGTGAGTCCGGCGACCGCAGCGCAGCTGCTCCGCCGCCCCGTCCCGTCCAGTCCCGTCCCGTCTGCCGCCCGCCCGGCCCGGCCGGAGCGCCGGCTCCGCGCTCACCTGGGCGGATTTCTTGCAGGGTCCGGACTGCAGAAACCGTGCGATCAGGTAGTAGAGCTCTGTGGAGGGAAGGGGGAGAGCGGGTTAGACACGGTTAGAACGGAGGGGGTGCGGAGCGCAGCCCCCGCCGCCAGCGATACCCACCGGCTTCCAGCTGGGTCGGGGCGGCCGCCGCCGCCATCCTCCTCGGGAGGGGGAGGGGAGGTGGCGGATGGCGCCCCGGGGGGACTCGGCTCCTAGTGCGGGCGCAGCCTCATGCCGGAGCGGCGGTGCCGGTGCGGGGCGCGGGTCCCAGTGCGGGTGCGGGCGCGGGTCCCGCCCGGGCTCATCGCGGCTCCGCGGACCGAGCGCCGCCGGCACCGCCCGCACCGCCGCCGCCCGCCGCCGGGGGGCGCGCGCGGCAGCGCCGGGCGGGCGGGGGGGCAGGAAGGGCGGGGCGGTGACGCGCCGCGGGGGGGCGCCCGCCACTTCCGGCCGGCGGCTGAGGGAGGAGGAGGAAGAGGAAGGGCCGGGCCGGGCCCGGAGAGCCGGGATGTGCCCGAGGCGTTTGGGCACCGTCACGGGGCTGCGCTGGGCAGGGCTGTGCTTTAGAGGGCCCGGGAGCCGTCACGGGGGAGCTCTAACGGCTTCTGTCCTCGCGGGTTCCGCCCTCATCGCTCCCGGGTGTCCTTGCCCCGGCCCTCACGGCTTCAGCCCTTCCCAGCCCTCATAGCCGCAGTGTTCTCGGTCTTGGCCTCCTCCCTGGCAGCGCCTGGGAAATGGAGGCCCATGTGTGCCTCATATGAAGCAGTTTTCAAGAGGATGAAGGGATTCAGGAATCTTAGAGATCCCGTCAAGGGTAGGGGGATGGAGCCCACGCGTGTGCCATGGAGGGGACACAGGATTGCTCAGTGGGGAGGCGACCGCGCCTTCCGGCCTCCCGGTGAACAAGGCCTGGCTGCAGGGAAGTGCCTCAGGTTGGGGTGGCTTTAGGAGTTAAAATATTTGCTCCCAATGACCAGAAAATTCCAATGTGATGGATACAGCACCTGTTCTCAAGGAACAAAGGGGTCAGGGTCAGAATAGATAGTTTTAATGGAAATAAATGTTTTTCCATGGGATGCATCCTGTCAGAGCTCCTGAAATCAGTGTCACTTGAGCAATGAGTTGCTAAAACACATGAAGTGAATTGTATTTTATCTCAAGTACCTGACATTTGGTGTTAGAACTCCAGTGTAAAAACCACTGTCATCATGGCATAACAAAGGACATCCTCTCCTCATGCCTGGAACACCGAGAGCTGAATCACTGTGAGTCGATGCTCTGGTAATATTAAGAATAAATTCAGATTGAGCACATATTTATAGCAGCTGCTCAGGACTGGGCTTGCTGTGGAGCACTGGCTCAGTTTTGTTGCTGTGCAGTCAGGGTGCAGTCCCTGCTGGCAGCTCCACAGCATGCCTCCAGGCACCCAGGGAGAAAAATTTGGGGATTTGGCATTAAGCTGCTCCACATAATTCACCTGTACTCACCTGCCCCTTATCCACCTGTGGAAGTTATTTTGTGCCAGGAGCTTGGATTAACTGGGTGGTTTATGGACCCTGTTTCCTCTTCATCGTCCTCTAAAGTTCTTGAGTTCTCAGTGATTGTTGAGAGGATCCCAGAATGGTTTGATGGAAGGGACCTTAAAGTTCATCCAGTCCCACTCCTGCCATGGCAGGGACACCTTCCCCTACCCCAGGCTGCTCCAAGCCCTGTCCAGCCTGGCCTTGGACATTCCCAGGGATCCAGGGGCAGCCACAGCTTCTCTGGGCACCCTGTGCCAGGGCCTCAGACCCTTCACAATAAAAATTTCTTCCAAATACCCCACCTAACCTTGCCCTCTGGCAGTGGGAAGCCATTCCCCCTTGTCCCAAGTCCTTTTCCATTTATCTTGTAGGCTCCAAACAAATACTCTTGGAATGTTTTCAGGGCAGGTTCCTTGCTCAGCTCTCAGTGGACAAACACGAGGTGCCACCTCACCAAGCTGCAAATTCCAGTGGCTTCCCAATAGTAACAGCTCTCCAGCTTCCCAGCAGGACCCCAGAGGCTCCAAAGCTGCAGAGCTTCCCTGGAGAGACAGAGTGAAACTGCTGTTCTCAGAATGAACTCCCAGCCAGGAGAAGCACTCACTGATCCCACTCTCCAGGAGGTAATGTTTGTCCCACCTGTCTTCAGAGCCCAGACCTGCAAGCTCATCTTTTCATGCATGATGGGAAGGCAAAGGAGAAAACACAGATGATGTTTTATTATATGTCCTGAAAGTACAAATGCATCTTCCTGAGCTGAACAGAATTCCATGTCAGGGGAAAAACAGCTCCATAAATAGTGGCCAGCACCATGTCCTGGTGCATTTTGGTGCCAACAGCTCCACATCCATGCTCAGGTGAGACCCCACCTGCAGCCCTGGGATCTCCAGCACAGGAAGGACATGGAGTTGTTGGAGCAAATCCATTGGAGGCACCAAGATGGGCAGAGGGATGGAGCAGCTCTGCTGTGAGGAAAGGCTGGGACAATTGGGGTTGTTCAGCCTGGAGAAGCTCCAGGGTGACCTAACTGTGGCCTTCCAGTGCCTGAGGGGAGCCTACAGGGAAGGTGGAGAGAGACTACATGGGCCTGGAGTGCCAGGACAAGGGGGGAATGGCCTCCCATTGCCAGAGGGCAGGGTTGGCTGGGATATTGGGAAGGAATTCTGCCCTGTGAGGGTGGGCAGGCCCTGGCACAGGTGCCCAGAGCAGCTGTGACTGCCCCTGGATCCCTGGCAGTGCCCAAGGCCAGGTTGGACAGGGCTGGGAGCACTCTGGGACAGTGGGAGGTGTTCCTGCCATGGCAGGGAGTGGGGCTGGATGGGCTTCAAGGCCCCTTCCATCACAAACCATTCTGGGATTCCATGATTCTGTATTTGTTTAGGAATGTGACATTTCCCTGGCACCTTTTGGTGCCTTACTGAATCTCTGCACTCATGACTTGCTTTCATTTGAGCTTGGGGGTGGCACAGGTGAAGCTGCAGCAGCACCAGGCAGGATTGTTGTGTTTGGGCCTCTCTAGAGCCCATGGGGATTTCTGCAGTAACTAAACAGGGCTTTCAAAAGCCTGGGATAGAAAATGCTCCCAAAGTAAGCTTGTCCATGCCTTGCTTGTGTCCTTCCTGCAGCCTTCCAGCTGGAGCCTGGCTGCTCCTTGCTTGGTGCTCACTCCAGGACCCTGGGTCAGTGCTTGGCCATGCTGTGTGTTGCTCCACACCGTGGCTCAGATGGATTCCTGCATAAGGAAGGGAGTGTTGGGAATGCCCCGGATGTGTGCTGTGTGTGCTGAGGGCACAGCTGTGCAGGTACAACCAGCATTCCTCCTTCCCAAACAGTTCGCAGGGAGCTTCCCTCAGCCTGGCTGGGGCTGGACTGTGCTGCTGTGCAGCCACTCCTGAGCCTCTTCCCGACATTCCTGACTCCCTGGCACCTCAGCTTCCCCTCCTTCACCCTCTCCCAGTTGCTCCATTACTCCCCAAGCCTGCTCCAAGGGCTGTTACCGATACCTCTTCCCACCTTTCCTGGGTTTTCCCCTCCAGGAGTCATGCGTGGTGAGTAATGCCCATCCTCTCTTTCCCCAGGAGCTCCATTTCCCCACCACACGTGGATTCTGCAGCTCCATGACTCATCTTTTTCCAGATCCTCTGCATCCAAGCAGCAGCATGCTGGGGGTGATAGTAAATCTCAGAGTGAAAGCAGGATTTTATGGATGTGCTGATTCATCTTTCCTCAGAGCAGAGCTCTGTTATGTAAATGCCAGCAGCAGCTGGTGGCAGGAGGAGGGAGAACAGACTAATGAGCCACGGAAGGATTCAGGAGCAGGGATGCTTTAAGGAAGAAGCTGGATTGTAGCTGTTTCTTTCCATACTGCTCTTTAAAGAAAAAAAAATGAAAGCTTTTGAGGGATTTTAGGAGTAGGAACTGATGACATTCAAATACCCATCACTTCTCCCCATTTGGTTTTGTAGGGAGTTTTACTCTCAGCTGTAGTTAAAAGTAAAACTCAACCCCCTGTTTAATTTGACTACAAAATTAAATGAACTTTCCCACAATTACCTTGTAAAACCAGGTAAAGGTGTCTCTCTCATTTTTTATTTATGATTATTTTGCCCTCATGAGTCAAATCCTGCTTTAGCCGTCTGTGGAAACAGAATTGTGGTTTAGTAGAATCAGAAATGTACAGTTAAAATAAAAAAAACCCCAAAGTTTAGAGTGGGATTGTGCAGGTGAGGTGGGTTTACCTGCATTGAACCTTTTCAGTAAATGTAGGTAAGGATTCACATGCCTGAATTCAGCTGGATTTAAACACTAGTACAAATTATGCATTTTTGGCTTTTTTTAAAGAATATTTTCTGTGTACATTTCATAAAATACCCCTGAGTTGGAAGCAACCCATGAGGATTTCTATGAACATTCTGCTCATCTTGGGTCTTTCATCTGGAGGTAAATGACAAATAAGGATGGTAGTTAAATTAAATCTGAGTTTTAGTTTAGCTGATTCAAAAATAAGAGTTGTTCAGAAGGAATTCAGGAGTTGGTGCCTTATGCTACACAGCTGTGATTAAAGGAATATTGAAAAGTCCAAGCTTATTTTAAGATCTTTACACAGAAAAACCTCAAATTTTGATATCATAGTTTATTTTAAAAAATAAATGAGATGCAAAATAATTAGCACTAATTACAGTTGCTGGAGTGCAGGGCTTGTGTGTGCAAACCAACATCCTGTTTTTGCAGGAAAAATCTCCAAGTTCCCACTCCTTCCTATGGTTCTCTTCCTCGACAAGAGCTGTTAAATAATATCTAAATAGCTGTTAGATATTACACAAGATCTGCTCTAGGATTTTTGCTATTTTTAATAATTTATTATTTAATTTCTCTGCTGCATCGTTCCAATCATTCCTCTAGATGGTGCCAGACACCCAAGAGTTGGGAGCGGCATTATCCCATAGAAGGCGATGGAGGACGAGCCAGGACGCCGCTCGCCTTTGTTTCTAAATTCTATCTTGCAGCAGTTCGTCTTGTTGAAAAATTACTTGTTCTGATGATGTAAATATGATGAGTTTTTTCCTTTTGAGAATCCTAAAATCCATTCAGCCTAAATCCCACCTTGCTGGAGCAGTGCCATCCCTTGCTCCGTGGGCTGATCCATATCTCCCATTCCTTATGGCAGCCATTAGCTGCTGGGAGCTGGGATCAGTGCGTGCAGCCCCGCTGCGGCTGGGGAGCTGAATCTGCCTGCTTTGCAAAGCAGTGACATTTCTGACTATTATCTAAACATTTCTCCTTATCTCTGTTTCACCCAGAAATGCCAAATCCAGCTGTGGGTGGAACCACGGGAAAAGGGGTGGCTCTGTGTCCCTGTGTGCTCTGGGCTCTGGCAGCAGAAGGACCGGGGCAATGATATCAGTGTCAGCTCCATCCCCAGCATCTCTGAATTCCAACTTTGCACTCAAAGTGCCTGGAACCCCCAAGTTTTATAGCAGCAAATTTACCACTGGGTGTAAGTGACCAGGTAGGTTTTGTTATTGCTGGTGTCACTTCTGCACCCTGCACAATCCCTGTCTGAGGGCTCATTCTGACCTGTGGCCCCTGGTTGGGATCGAGCTCCCTGTTCCCAACCTTTTCCAGCTTCTCCTGATGTACCCTGACTGCTGCCAGTCCAGGGGTCCCCTGCACAAGGATCTCACCCCAAAAATACCACCTGATATCACTACTGGGCTGATTCAGCAACTTTTAAGTCCTGATAAATATTTGTAAATAATTCTTTGATGTTTTCTTTGTGATTTTTTTTAGGTTTTTAGGGCCAACTCCTGCATTTTTGGCTTCTCTTGGAAGCCTGGGCACAAAGCATCTGACTGCAGCTGGGAATTCATCACCTCTCTCCCTGGATATGCAAATTTTACTGTAACTCCCTCAGCTAAGTAAACAATTTTAATAAAATTACATCCCTCTGTATCCCATACCCTTTTCCATAAAGTTTTGAGGATTTTTATATTTTAATTATATTTTTCATTCTACAAAAAATATTAGAACTATTTCGAAGGAGTTCAATAGGGTTTTTTACAGCACTGCTTTTATTGAAATAAAAGGTTATAAAACATTTTGATTAATTTTTTTTATTTATTGATATCCCTAACAGGTAGACATTGTAAATAAGCTCATTAATACTCTTTAAATACAGCCTTATAAAATTAATTCTCAATTACTGCATGAGGTGATGGATTAGAAAAATGTCCCATGTAAATTTGCTCACAGGAGTGTGAGTTTGGAATGAACTTTCTAAGTCACTGATCATGGAATCCAAGGATGGGATTTAGGAACATTTCTCAAAGTGCTGTCCCATACAGGAATTCTCTTCCCATTATCTTTATTTATTGCTTATAAAGCCTCTTCTTGTGATCTTCAATTTGGATGATGTCTCCCTCTTATCCCTCATAAGGAAAAGCTTTAACATGGAAGCTTCCATAAATTCCTCTGCAGTAAAGTGACCCCGTATTTCATTTAATTCTTGCACTTCCATCATTTAATGAACATTCACATTCTCCTGTGGCTGTCCAGCTTTGTATCTCTGGGAAAAGTCTTTCCCCTGATGTCCTCAGGAGTTCAGATTTCAGAATCTCTTTTTATTTTTGGCCTTAAATTATTAGGGCTTGAGACATAACCTGCTACAATGTTTTGTGTGTCATCTTGATTTGGAGAGGCCTTACATTCTTGGAAGGTCCTTTAAAGTGTTTTTTTTTTTAAATCAAAGGACTAATTTAATTTAATTTAATTTCCAGTGAGGTGGTTTTCAACACCTGCAAGTTCTTGCCCTGTTGGCTGTTCCCTTTCATTTCTCTTACACCAATAAAAGTCTATTAAGAGTTTATGACGTCCCCAAGTTCTGTGTGGTTGAGTTTCTGCTGGAAAACCACCACAGGTGGGAGGTGAAGCTGTGAAGGCACATGGCCAGAACTGTGCCATCATCCTTATTTCCCTGAGGTTTTCTTTGTTATCCCTGGATTATAATGGTGTAAGTGTGGAATATGGTGTAGAGGTGGAAAAAAGCTTCTCCTGTTTGTTCTCCACATTGTCCTTGAAGTCTGGAGGATCTGCCATTTCCTGTGGAGGATCCTCCTCTCTCCATGTGTTTCCTGATGTCTCTGGACACCCTTCTCCCTCCTGCTCTGTGCAGCCAGCAGATCTCAGTCCCTTCATTTTTTCCTCTCTTTGCTCCTTCTTCCTGCTTGCTGACTGAGGTTGTTGCAGGTAACACCTTTCAGACCTTGACTTTCTTCCAAACCCATCTTCCATCTTGACTTTGCTGCTGCCTGTGGACTCTGCCAGCCCCCCATGCCCTTGTGTTTGGGGGTTTGTCCTTGCTGACTCCAGGATGCCTCTGGAATGGCTGAAGAACATTCCCATGGGAGACACAGTGCATCCTGAAATGAGGCATGGAAAAATCCCACTGAGAGTGACGCTGTGCTCTTGGTGCAGGTTTCAAGCAGATATTGGAGAAATCCTGGGAGCTGAGACCTGAGGGAGGGATTTAGGGAGACCAGAGGCTCATGAGATGCATCAAGACTCTTGAAAGCATTGTTTTGTCTTTCTTGAACATGTGGAAAACAAACCAGGCTGCAGCACTCCCTCCCTGTCAGGAGAAGAAAGCAGCAGGACAAAATCTGTTGTTGGAATTTCCCTCCAGCAGCACTTCCATCCCTCCCAGCCAAGGGCAGTTGGGGTGAGCCATGGCCATGCTTGGGGGACTCATCCCAGGGGACGTGGGTGTCCCAGAGCTGCTTTGTTCCCTGCAGCCCCACCCACCCCTCAGCTAAAAATGACATTTTTCACCAACTGCTAAAGCCTCCTGCTCCTGCTTTAATGTTAATTTTGGGAGTTTTCAACTGGACTCTGAGCTACCTCCTTCAGGAATCCACGTGGCAGCCCCGAGGTCCAGCCCCATCTGGGTGACAGAGTTTGTTTCCTTTGGCAATAGGGATTTAACAACCAGGCTTCCAGCCCTGGGAATCATTTCCCTCAAATAGCTGCAAAATAAATGATGGGACATTTTCCAGTGCAGTGCTGCAACCACCCAAAACACCACTGTAGAATTCACAGAGGCCAGGCAGAGCGAGTGCATTAAGCAAGGCTTAGGGGGATTATGGAATTAAATTGGGAGCCCCTTCCACCCTTCCCCCAGTCAAAGACATTCGGAAATAAATATTAAAACAGGGTGTTAAAACAATGGCTTTGGCTAAAACCTCTGCAGGCAAAGAGCCTTGTTGTGGGGGCTGTTGCTGAGCTGTGGACCAGGCTGTGTTCCAGAGGGTTTCCATCAGGGAGCCGGGGTGATCTCAGGAACACCAAAGGCCGTGGCTGGAGTGGCTCTGCTTCCCAAATTCCCTGTGCACAGAAGTGCCCCAGCCCCTGGTGCAGCACAGGACTCTGCCTCCCCTCCTCTGGACCCTGCTGCTGCCTTTGGCATTCCTTATCCTCTGCCTGCACTTCCCTGCTCTGTCCCTTCCCGTGATCAGTGCATCCTGCTCCTTTCAGGGAGAGTTTGTGCAATGAAAGCTTTGCTTTAATCTGGGCTGGATTTAGCCAGATGCTGCAATCCTGGGAAGGCTTACACAGGGCTCAGGTCTGCCATGGGAATGTAGCCTTGATTTGATAATCTGAGAATGATTTATTTAAAATTAAAAACATAGAAAACCTTTGAAACAGCTTTTTTTTGTTGTTGTTTGAGCTCCTTTTGGCCTTGCAGTAGAACAGGCACCCTGGCTCTCAGTTACATATAGGGCCTGGCACCCATGAAATAGGTTTTAGGCTAATGAGGCACACTCTGCCTGCTTTAATTAAATTAATTAGAGCCAAAAAAAGGCATTTTCCATTAAAAGTCTTTAGCATCATAATAACACAATGAATTTAAATATTTAATATAAAAATACATAAAATTAAATATTAATTTCCAATACACTTACAGAGTCCATTTGACCAAATAACCCCACAGATATTCCCTTACCAGAGAATCCCATTTCTTTACATCTCTATTAACATAATTACAGACCTTTGTATTTAAAACCTTTATTTTAGTATAGTTCTCTCTGTAATAAAATTAATCCATGAGACACCTGTGCAGCAAGAAATAGGATTTACAGAGACTTTAAGCTTTTGGGAGCAAACATGGTTTATTCTTGTCCGTGTCAAGGCCTGGGGTAGATGAGCACAGTGACACCAGAGGCAGCTGAGTGTATTAATTAGTGCTAATTAATAAAGCTACCGGGTTCTTTAACCTTCTCACAGCACTGCATGGGTGGAGGAGGAAGGATAAGGAATGAGCAGAGGAAAATCCTTTTGGTCAGAGTTTTTCCATGCCTGCCTCTCCTCTCTGGCTCCCCCAGGTCCTTGTCCCCCTGTGCCTGTGCAGGGAGTGGTGGCAGCTCATCCTGCAGGCTGGGATCCCAGGGGATCCTGCAGCCCCCTGGGAAGCTGCTGCCCAGGAAGGGGCTGGGGATGTGACTGCTTGTGACAAGTCTTGCCTGGGAGAAAACCCAACACGGCAGCGGTTGGAAACCTGAATGATGTCACTATGGCAACAAAATAACTCACCTTAAAATAAAATGTGCATTGGAAGCAACCTCATGTGCTCAGGGAACACAGGGAGGAAGCTCCTATTTTTTATATGTATATATTTTTATGTTTATGTATTTTATAATATTTTCTCAGCTTCCTGAATTCCCTGTTAGCAGATGCTGATGCAGATGTAAGAAATATTTTAATTTCTCTCAGCAATGAAATGAAACAGAAAATGACCAGACCTCCAGAAGAAGGAAAAACGTGTTTGCTGGAGGGCAGGAAAACCCTGGAGCTGCTGATAACTACGAGGCATTCTGATGTATGTGAGAGCCAGACTATCAATATCTGCAGCTCACCCCAGTGATTTGGGACTAATTATTGCTAATATTTTTCATGGCCATAGTTCATCCCTTTCCAACAATCCCAAACTCCATTTCCACATTTGTTCTTTCCAGTTTGTTTTCCCTTGTTTCTGCATTAAATAAAAGCGACAGGTGGAAATGTAGAGATTTCTCTGGAAATTCCAAACTCTCCTTGGCTCTTTTTATCCCATGAGCATCCCAGCCAGCTTGGAGCTGTGGTGATTCAGCCACAGTGCTGCTGGGGAGATGTTCCCAAGTTTTCTCATAATCCTGGATGCTTTTTAGGCTGGAGTGGGTGACTTTGACCAGCTCTGTGCGAGGGAGGCTGGGATGGGCAGTGCAGTGGTGGGGTGAGGCCGTGAGCTGTGCCAAGCTCTTTGCTGAGAGATCCAACCCTGGCAGCAAAGAGGAGTCATCCCCATCCTGTCAGGCTTTTCTCCTGCTTGCCAAAGGCCAGGAGCATTTATGGGATGAAGCATAAGGCCATGGAAAGCCCAGCACCCCTGATCTGGTCCTGCAGCGACCCTTGACTAATCCAGGGTAAAAATAGAAACACAAATTGTCTGGTGTTTCACTGGGCAGCAGAAATCCGGCAGCGCTTGAGTTTGAATCATCCAGATGATGCTCTGCAAGAGGGGGATGTTGCTCTGGAAATCCCACTGATCCCCAGGGGCTGATCCCCAGGGAAATCCCACTGATCCCCAGGGAAATCCCACTGATCCCCAGGGACTGGGATCGTGCTCCAGGTGGAGAGATGCTCCCAGTGCTCCAGCAGGAAGGGCAGGGCTGGAGCTGGAGCTGTTTGAAGCCGAGCAGAGGCAGCCTGCATTGGCACTGTGCTTGCCCAGCGTGTGTGTGCTGGGCACAGAGCACCTGCCTGGGAATGGGCAGAGAAGTGCCAAAGGCTCCACAGCCACAGGTTTTCCTGTGGTTTTTGCAAAGTTCAGGCCATTTGTAAAAACTGTGGAAAGCCCAGCACATCCCAGAAGGAATCGTCAGCAACCACAGCTGCATGAGTAGCTCTGGACTTCCAGTTCTTGCAGTGCAAAAATAAATACATTTATAGAATAGCTGTATTTTACATAATATAATACTTATATAATGTATAATTCTATATTATATTATATTATATTATAGCATAGCATAGCATAGCATAGCATAGCATAGCATAGCATAATTTTCCTCCCTATATCCCATTTTCTGAGAGCTTTGCACCCAGTTTAATGGCAGTGAAAATAATTTACTTTCAACTGCTTCTTCTATAGGAAACCAGGAAAAGTGGATTAAAAGGAATGAGGTTATGGAGCATGAAAAAATATTCCAAAACAACTATGGAGGAGAGAAGAGGAGTTTCTGTTCTGACCCTGGGTGAGTTCAAGGGGGTTCTTTGGATACCTGGGTGCCAAATAATGCTAATAATTGAGGCTGTCACATTTTGACGTCATCAGCACAGCATCCAGACGCTGCCTCTCTCCTTCCCATCGGTATTTCCTTGCAGTCCCACATTCCCTGCAGTCCCTGCTCATTGGGAGAGCAGGGAATCGCTGCTGCGGTCCCTGCTCCCGGCAGCGCGGGAGGGATGAGCCGAGATTGAAATCCTTCCCTACCATTGATGTCAGGACGACTCCAACACCGGCTCCGGCTCCGTCCACGTCACTCCTGCACCCCATCTCTGCAAGGAAAAGTAATCACTTGTCTTACCTCCGGGTTTAATTAGTCCCTGCTCCGGGGCTAATTAGGAGCGCGGTCCGCGCCGAGGTCGGGGCCGGAGCCCTCCCTCCCTCTCCCGCTCCCGTTCCCGCTCCATTCCCGCTCCCATTCCCGCTCTGTGCCATCTGCCATTGCCATGACACTGGCTTTGCTTTGCTTTTCACGGCTGGCTGGGCGCGCTGGATGCGCGGGGTAATGGGGCTATTTTTCCCCCCTTGGTCTTTGGAAAGGAAATAATAATACTAATAAACCCAGGAATGGCTGGAACTGCTGCACACTGCCCTTTTCCTTCCCACTTGTGAAGCTTTTTAGCATTCAGTTTTCCAGCAATTGGGAGGAAAATTGCCCTGAAAGAAAGAAAGAAACAAAAATCTGTGTTATTTTTTAAACACCCCCCACCCCCCGCGCCACACAGGCAGCTGCAGAGAATTTCTCTTCCAAAGGGATGATGTAATGGGCTTTGTCAGCCAATGCTGGAATGAATAAAACCCGAGACCCGAAATCCATCCAGGCTTTTGATGAAACTCCTGAGGTTCCTGGAGCAAGTGGTCGCCAAAATAGGCTGGAACTGCTGGGTTTGTCATGCAGCTCTTGAGAGAAGTGAGATGGAGAGTCAAGGGCTCCAACGAGGGAATAACCAAAACCACCAGGTTATGTCCCTGCTGAGGGAAAGGGGACCTTGAGGGGCATCTGGGGACATTCAGTAAAGGGGTGCACAGCCCTTGGTGCTGAGACATCAACTCAAGCTTCAACACAGAGTCACTCCTGATCTGTACATGGCACCCACAACCATTTTATAGAGGGATGTATGTGTGTATTTAATATGATGTATATTATATATAATTCAATATTATTGCCCAGAGAAGCTGTGGCTGCCCCATCCCTGGGAGTGTCCAAGGCCAGGTTGGATGGGGCTTGGAGCAACCTGGGATGGTGGAAGGTGTCCCTGCCCATGGCAGGAGGTGGGACTTGATGGGTTTATGGTTCCTTGCTACCCAAAGCAGTTGGGGATTCTGTGATATGTATAAAACATAAATATATAAACTATACACAAGTATCACCAGTTCCTGCTGCAGCAATGGGCACATTGTTGCTCTCCCAAGGATGTTGTGGGCTGCTGAGTTCAGGAGATCTCTCCCATCTCTCTGTGACTGATCCCAAGTCTCTGTGTAGCTTTCTTTGGGGCCCTTTAGGCACTGAAAGAGGCTCTAAGGTTTCCCAGAGCTTTCTCCAGAGCACCCCCAGCTCTCCCAGCCTGTCCTCATAGGACACACTGCACTGTTCCTGTCACCCCAGATTCCTGCAGTGAAGAGCCTGCGGGGCAGGCAGGGAGAGCTCCCGGCATTCCAGAAGGTTCCAGCTCTTGCAGGGACAGCACACTTCCAGGTGATGGAGGAGAATCATGGATACATTTTGCCTTGGCTGCTCTCTGGTCCCTGCTTGTGCATCCTTGCTGGGCATCCCTGCAGCAGGAGCTGGGACAGAGCTGCTGCACCATTCCCAGCCCTGTGGAGCCACCAGCATTGTGCCACATCAGTGACACCCTGAGAGCTGTGGAACCTGCTCATGGTCCCTGTGCCATCACCCCAGCAGCTGGATAACCCCAAATTCCCAGGGATGACCTCTCTGTGTGTGCAGAGCAGCTGTGCAGGAACCCCCAGCCAGGACCACCTAGAGGCTACAGCACCAAGTGAAGCCAAGAAGATTTATAGCCAAGATGGGCCACAAAGGGGATGGAAATAATTCCCAAGCCCAAATGGAGCAGCACTGGGAACCTGGACCTCTTCTCCAGCCCAGGGGTGACCATCACCTCACCTTCAGCACCAGCAGCACCCAACAAACCTGGGCCCTAGGGTGCCATGTGGGGAGGGAGTTTTGCCAAGAACAGCAGGATGTGGTGCCCTTTTCCTCCTGGGAAAAATCCAGCTCCAGTGGAGAATATTTCCAGGAGCACAGGGGGATGTGCACAGCCCAGGTCAATGGCACAGGGCTTGGCAGGGACACAGGTGCTGCTTTGGGTACATCCAAGCCGTGTGTCTGTCCCACCAACAGCCACATGCAGTGAACAACAGGGATGTCTGCCTCCTTTCACTGGAGGGCGCAGACCAAAGGGGAAGTACAAACCTGTGTCCCCTCACCCCCCAGCTCCTTCCAGAGGTCCAGAGCCAGGGACAGCTCCAGGTCCTCTCCACACCCACGTGGGTTGCTGGTCCTGCAGCGTGACATGTCTTTGTGTCCCACAGCCCCACCGGATCATCTTCCAAGAATTTGTGTAATCACTTCCTAAGCCATTATGATTCCTGGGCTCCATTTGGGCAATGAGTTACATGGTTTAATTACTCATTGTGTGAAATATGCTCGTTTTGCATCTGCCACTCTGTAATTTCATTTGGGGCCTCTTTGTTTGCTTTGTGTCCCCACACAAGAGCCACCGACCCCTATTCACTGTCCCTGTGCCGCTGCACCAGGGAATACAAATCCCGCATCCTTTTCCCCCCTGTCTGTCAATTCTTTGCAAGACAAAAAGGGTAATTTATTTAATTGTTGCTGATATAATGTCCTAAAAGTCTCCTTTCCCCTCCAACAGTTAATTACACTTGTTAATTATTTTAATTATTCCCAGGGTAATGCTGTAGGTATAGAGTAGCATAGGAGTAAACACGGAGCAGGGAAGTCAGAGTTTACTCCAAGATCTCTGTTGATAACCAGGCTGTAACCACATGGGTGGTGTAACCACAGCAGGGAACATTTGGCCTGGATTTGGAACTTTCTGTTGGAAGGATTTATAGGAAGAGAAGGCAGATCCTGCAGGATTGCCCTCAGATGAGGCCCAGAGAAGCGACTCCAGCATTTCTCTCCTGGCAGAGCCAGCACAAAATGGAACCGTGACTTGGGGAAGTACTTCTGGTCAGCACCTCCACGATGGTGGATTTATAGGAAGGAAGAAACCAAACCAAGCAAAATTCCGTCTTGCTGGAAAGCTGAGTCTCAGCCTGAGGCTTAGGAACAGCTCACCTCCAACTCCAGCCGTGTTCTGAGGGGAGCGGCGGCCCCGGATCCGTGAAACTGCAAAACTTGTTTGTGGTCCCACAGAGCAGCCTGTGCCAGCGCCCCTGGAGCCAGGGTGAAACCCGAGAGCTGCCGCAATCCAAACCTTCTCCACAGCTCCTTTTATCTTCCTGGGGGGAAAACAAACAGCGCAGAAGCCGGAGCTTTGTGGCTGGGATGTCGCACATCTGGTTTGAGCTCCAAGAAATGCACCTCCACCCCCTCCCCGAATTGTTCATGTTAAACAAACAAAACCCCAGCGATTTTGTGAGATTTTGGCTCTGGGATAACTTTGGAGCAGCTTTTACTGAGAATTCCAGGCTTGTGCTGCACTTCATCCCCAGTGGAGCAGCACACCTCGCTCACTGGGAGGGAGGCACTTCCAAAGGGGAGCAGCCGTGCCCTGGAACCCCCTTGCTGGGAATGCTGCTGGGAGTGGGAGGGGAGAGTGCTCTTGACCACTCTGTTTAGGTTTCAATCCAGCATTTTTCCCTGTGTAATTTATGCTTCCTCTCCCCCTTTTAAGAACGTCTGGAATTGTTTAAGATGTGTCCAATTGTATTAAGTTGCCTTTGAGAGTTTTATGGTGTCAATTGGATTCCCGCTCTTAGGAACAGAGCTTTCCAATTTGCTGGTTTTCCTTTTTCTATCACATCAGCACCAGCTTCCTTTCAGTCAGTGCTTTCAGGTGTTACCTCAGCCTGAAGTTCACACTAACCCCTGGACATCACTTCCATTTGACTCTGTTCCAGTGATTCCCTGGTTGCTGCTGCAGGAGGAAGGGAGTGCCATTCCTCTGGGGTCCTGTCCCACTGGCCCCTCTTCCAGCAGAGGTAGATAAATCAGGGCAGATCATGGAATCATGGAATCACAGAGTGGTTTGGGTGGGAAGGGACCTTAGAGCCCATCTCATTCCCTGCCATGGGCAGGGACACCTTTCATGAGACCAGGTTGCTCCAAGCCCGTCCAGCCTGGCATTGGACACTTCCAGGGATGGGGCAGCCACAGCTTCTCTGAAAACAGATGAAAGGTGTGGGTGCAGGGGGTAGGAGCAGTTCTGATCCTCTCCCCATCCCCTCCTTGACTCACCCTAGCCCAATCCCAATCACACCCCTTCCAAAGCAGGGGACAATGGCCACACGAGTCACCAGTGACATCTGTTCCCTCGTCCATGCTCACTTGTGACCGCCTCCCGCTCCTCCGGGCACTGGGACAGTGTGGAAGCCACGTTGACATTGTTCTCTCAAAGGACAGAGCTCCTCGAAAGCCGCCCAGCGCCGGCCCGGGGTGTTCCCGGCTCCTGGAGCCCGTCCAGGGCATCGAGTTTCAGAGCGGGCTCCCGGCAGCTGCAGGGGAAAGGAGCAGCCCCGCTGAGACAGCCAGAGGGAGGAGCCGTCGCTGCCATTGCCGAGATTCAATTCTCTTCCTCCTCCATCAGATTAACACCGGTGTTACTCCATTAACTGCCAGCGAGCTGCTCTTGATCTGAAAATCAGACCTGGCTGAATGTCACAGAATCCCAGATTGGTTTGGGTTGGAAGAGACCTCAAATATCCTCTGGTTCTCCCCCCTTCCATGGGCAGGGACACCTCCCACTGTCCCAGATTGATCCGAGCCCCATCCAGCCTGGCCTTGGACACTTCCAGGGATCCAGGGGCAGCCACAGCTTCTCTGTGCCCCCTGTGCCAGGGCCTCCCCACCCTCATGGGGAAGCATTTCTTCCCAATATCCAAACTAAACCTATCCTCCTTCATCTTAAAGCCCTTTCCCTTTGTCCTGTCCATCCTTTGTTCAAAGGCCCTCTCCAGCTCTCCTAGAGCCTCTTCAGGCACTGGAAGGGGACTCTAAGCTCTCCCCAGAGCTTTTCTTCCCCGGGTGAACACCCCCAGCTCTCCCAGCCTGGCTCCAGAGCAGAGGGGTTTTCTTTTTTTTCGTGTACAGTCACTTCAGTCAAAGGAACAAAGGTAAATGTGGGATTAACCTGCACAACCCTTACTTTTATGTGCTTGGAGGGGTTGTTTTATTTCATTTTCCCCCATTTCTCCTTTTTTTTACATCCCAAGGACCTCACTGTGTTTGCCATTCCTTGCAGCAGTGCCTTTTCCCTCTGTGCTGCTCCAGCACTTTGCTGATGGTGGAGGCCAGGATGAAGTCTGGAGGTGCCTCCTCTGATTCCCTGTCCCTCCCAGGACAGTGACCAGTGTTTTCAAAGTGGTTTTCAGTGGGTTTATTGTTCTGAGCAAACAAAAGCAAATGCTTGCCCAGTTCTGTTGAAGATCCTGTGAGGACGCTGTGTGAGGACACTGTGCTGCTCTGGGAGCCTGCACCAAAAGCTGGATCATGGAATTACAGGAACATTTAGGGTGGAAAAGCCCTCCAAACCCATTGATTCCAACTGTTCCCCCAGCACTGGCAAGGCCACCCCACTGGCCATGTCCCCAAGTGCCACATCCACAGTGAAATCCCCACAGGAAGGTGACTCCAGCCTGTGCCAGGGCTGCACAACCCTTTTTTTCCCTAATATCCAACCTAAACCTTGTCTGGTGCACCCTGAGGCTGTGCCCTCTCATCCTGACCAGCTCACCATGGCAGGGTGTTGCCAACACCACTCAAATCTCTTCCCATGACGTCACCTCAGAACCATCCCTACCTTCCCACCCATGAATCTCTTCACCTTGGCATCTTCAAGGTCTCCAGTTGTTTTGATGAACAGTGATAACCAGATCCACAGCAATCTGTGGATGTTTCCTAACCAGCATCAGACCCAGTAACACCTGGAACACAGGGAACAGCCAAGGACCCTGGGGAAGGCACTTTCTCCACAAATTCCAAATAAACCTGAAAGTTTGAAACCTCTCCTTTTCAAACAAAATAAGCCAAGCTTGGGAGCTGCCATGGAGCTGCCTTTGGATTCAGTGTCTAGACACCAGGAGAGCCTGGAGGAGGGTTTGGCATAAACCAGACAATCCATTCAGTTGTGCAACTCTCTCAATACCCCATGGCTCCGAAAAGTTATGAATTTGAGCAAAATGTTCTTGGGCAATTTTCTGTACTTATTTGAAAGAGCAATTTGATTAGAACAATAGTTATAGAATTAAGAACAACTCCCACCCTGGCACTGAAAAAAGAAATAACCAAAACCAAACACTCAGTTGTATGCTCTGAGTAACAACCTCTGGACTCAGATGGAGAGACAGGACTTGGGATCAGAGTGAGCTCATTCCACAGGGTGTTTGTACCTTGGCAGATGGATGGATCCTGTGCTAAGGAAATATCAACTGTACTCAGTGCCTGCTTAAATCACAGTGCTTGAGACACGCTGACTGGAGGCTGGAGCCAAAGAGAGATGGTCCCACAGCACCAGGGCTGGGAAGGGGCTCCACCTTCCTGCAGGACTGGATTCCTGTTCAAAGCCCTTTTATATAAACCACTGGGGTAGGAAATAACACAAATCCAAAATATTTCCAATGTGCATTCTCTCCCTGGAGAGGCCCATTGGGATTTCTCACTGACTGCTGGCTAAACTTATGGAATCCTGGAATGATTTGGGTGGGAACTTCAAGATCATCTAATCCACCTCTTGCCATGGGCAGGGGCACCTTCCCCTATCCCAGGGTGCTCCAAGCCCCATCCAGCCTGGCCTTGGGCACTTCCAGGGATCCTGGGGCAGCCACAGCTGCTCTGGGCACCTGTGCCAGGGCCTCCCCACCCCACAGGGAAGAATTCCTTCCCAATATCCCATCTAAGCCTGGCTTCTGTTTGAAACCATTTCCCCTTGTCCTGTCACTGTGTGCATGTATGAAAGGTCCCCCTCCCTCCTTAGGCACTGGAAGGGGCTCCAAAGTCTCCAGAGCCAACTCTTTTCCAGGCTGAACACCCCCAGCTCTCCCAGCCTGCCTTTGTGGAGTGCAAATTCGGTGAATCATTTTTAGATGTCAGTCAGGATGACATTTGAACTATTGCTGGACCATGTTCCAGCTGGGATGTTCAGTGTCCCTGGTTTTACCCACATCTCAGCACCAGGCACAGGGAATGCAGTTCCTGCTCCATCAGTTCTCCCTGGAGACCAAAGCATGGCCCAAAATCTCTGCTGGATTGAGGGAATGCAGTGCCAAAGGCCCCCCAGAACTCCCTCACCTTCACTGCTGAGGAAACTGGAGCCCAGTTAACCCCAGGTGTTTGTACAGAACAGGGGCAGCAGCAGGAATGACAATCCCCAGTGCCTCAGGCCTGGAACGTGAAATCCACATTTACACATCCTCCAGTGGCCCTGGGGGACTCATCCTGAACCCCACTGCATCCAGGATGCTCTCACTGAGAGGGCTCTTTGGGGTTTGGACACAAAATATTCGAGTTCTTGGAATTTCCCATTGCTGGGCTGAGGAGCAATTTAATGGGAGAGAGGTTTCTGCATTGCAGACATTTTTCTTCTTATTAAATTTATCCTGTAGATGTATCCTGGATGTGAAGGGACTTTCTATAAAAGCAGCTTTTCGCAGGAGTTGATAAAGTTGCACAAAAAAGCTGTAACAGAACTGGGACTTAACCCCAGGTCACTGCTCTGGTCCAGTTCTTTCCCAGAATGAGGAGTCCTGGATTAATGGGAAATCACAAATGGGGCTTCAGCCCAAAGCTCTCCAGCTCCATGGGCTCTCCCTCTCCCACTGCAGCTCCCCTGGAATTTGGGACCTTTCCAGCAGCACAAGCAACAAACCACAATCAGCTTTTGAGGAGTCTTTTTTATTAAGATAAATCCAGCAAAATTCCTAACAGTGGGTACATACAACCAACCTGCCCTTTTTGAAAAGAAATGTTTGTATTTCATTTAAAAACAGGATTACACTTTTATTTATTTATTTTTCTTTTTTTTTTTTTTCAAAACTGACAAAATAAAATTACATTTGGGAAACAACAGATTTCCAGCTCTTAGGTTTTTTCATGAAAATAGCTCACCTTCTTTATAAAAGCAACCCACAGAACCACTGGAATGTTTCACACGGTTATTTGTTTTGAGACCTCCCCACTTTAAGAAACCATACAACACATACAAGGGAAAAATTAAAATCTGAAGTCTGTAAGCATGACTTACACAAAAAGGGACACACTGACAGAAGTCAAAAGCTACCACCACTTATTCTTTCCATGTACCATACAAACTATTACAATCACAAAATTTAAAAACAATGACTTTTTTTTTTGTTGTTTTGTTTTGTTTGTTAGGGATTTAATTCCCAAGTAACCGAGATGAAGATGTTCCATAATTAAATTCATGCTAAAAAAACCTGCATTTATAAAATAGTTGATAAAAATATTCCTCTCTGTTAACAATACAGCATGGAGGTACGGATACCAAATGATGGAGATATAGGGCAGGGTTAACATTACTCGGACTTGGCTTCCTTGTCATCAGATGCTTCAGCAGCTGGTGCCTAGAAAAGGGGTTGGGAAGAACAGAAATATTATTGGTAATGCTAATTGGATTCCAATCTAAGCAGCATCAAAAAGAAACCAGTTTGTTAACACAGGCATGGACAAGGTTTAGTGTGGATACACAGGAATGCACAGAAAATATCAATATAACAATGGGCTGGCAATTCTTAAAATAAAAACACTGGAGTATCAATTAGTGAGGTAACTTTGGAGTAAGTACCTGCAGATAGGCAGAGGTTTGCAATCTGTTTTAATTAGGATCAAAGATATATTAGAGGAAGTTCAAGGCCCCATCATGGGGCAGTGGAAGAATTGCACATCAACCACAATCCTTCTCTGTCTGAACTTTGGGGAATCATTTCTCACCTTTCTCTATAAAATGTGCTTTTACTTCCCAAGTCAAACCTGCTAAGCTCCCTCAAAGCCCCTCTGAAGCACATCAGTGCTCTAACCAAGCAGATCTTGTTTTAAGATATAAAAGAATAAATCCCTTGGCTGGATGGTGACACTCAACCCATGAAGAGACCCCAGAGTCAGTGACAGAGCACAAGGGCAAAGAGAGCCCTGGGCAGACACTGCTTCACCATCAGCAAGGACTCTGCTGGGCCCATCCTCAGCAGCTGGACCCAGCAAAAGGCAGCTGAGGTAAGGAGCTGTGAGAAGGGGCTGCAGATAAGAGGCAAGGCTGAGTCTACTTTGGAAATCTCTTGTTGAATTGTTCTGAGCCAAAGAATTGTTTTAAAGAATTGTGCAGAACTCCAAGCCAGACTTCTGGCCCGGCACCAAGCCGTGCTGAGCAGCAGAGGAGCCCAGCAGTGCAGAGGGGATGTGCAGAGCCAGCTCAGGGCAGGAGGGTGGTGATGTCCCTGTGCCCCAAATCTGGGCATTGCTGACCAGCCTGAGAGGGAGCAGGGCCAGCAGGCAGCACCTGTGAAGGGCTCCAGCACAGGGCAGGAAGGAGCTGCAGGCCATTCCTGCAGGCTCTCCTGGAGCTGCTCTGTGCTCAGTGTGGCAGTGACCCCCCACCCCTGGAGCCCAGCACGGCTCCTGCAGCTGTGCTTCCTGCACATCTGGCTCTGTTCCCAGCTTTAGTGGAGCTCAAGTACCTCATTAGTTTTGGTATCTCCGTTTTCAGAGTGGTTTTCTTCTTTAGCATCCTCTTGTTTAGTTTCCTCTTTGCCTTTGGCTCCTTTCTTCCCTTTTGTTGCTGCCTTTTTGTCCTCCTTTTTATCATTTGCTGCTTTTTCTTTCTGTTAAGAAAACAGACAGTGATATATTAAATCCTGGTTTCCATCTTGTACATCAGCATGTTCTCAACTCCAAAACTCTCTGCACAACCTCCTTCCACCCCCAAACTTCCTACTGACCAAGGTGAGATTGAAGCTTCACAGGAGAAATGTTTTCCTTCTGTCTGTCCTGAATGTGCTACAGGGAAGTGCAGAATATAAAAGCAGCCATGGCTGGGGTTAAAAGAATTCTCATTTTAAATAGGCATTCAATTAAATTAGCTAAAAAATGTTGGCCTGGCCTGTACTTCTGCCCTGCTGCTGAAAGGCAGCCACAGAAGAAAACCAACATGTGCAAACACCAGAATACTTCAGATGTGCTGTTAATGCCTATTTAGAAAACTGTAACAAAGCTGTAGGCAAAGGACTTTCCCCCTTCCCTGCCAGAAATATTCCTTGTGATAATAAACTATTTCCATGCCAGAAAAACTGGGGACTCAACAGCATCACTCTGCTAACCACAAGAGAGCTGCATTTATTATTTAAGTGCAGTTTCTTATATGTGGATCAGGCTAAATCAAAACAAAACCCAAAACCTGATGCTTCTGTAGTAATAATTTTCCATAGGCAAGGTCAGATCCTGACCCAAATACCTGACCCTCATTAGTTTCACTTCCAAGGATGTGCCTCTTGCTGCCAGTAAGTGACAGCACTGGCTCAGCCCCTTGCTTGATTAACCTACTTCCCACAGAGGAACCAGAAACCCTGCAAGATCTGCTCACAGCTCAAGAGGATAAATGAAAATTACTGCATACACATTTATCTGCTCAGGAGATTTGTCTCAGTGACTGCAAGTTACTAAAAGGTTACAAAAAGTTTATTTTTTTATTTCAATCCCTCAATTATTAATGCATGCAGTTAATTCACCTTAAGAATGAGCTGCTAAGGGCAAACTCAAGAGTGTTAAGGGGTGAAGTCACCTAATTCTTCAATTATTATAAATTCACCAAAATTAACAGCAAATCCTCCAATAATGCAGAAAATTTAAGGTGGGGTCAGTGCATTCAGAGAGTGAGGGTCTCTTTCCTCTCCAACCTCTCACTCCTCAGTCTGAGGGATTTCATCCCACCCTAAAAACTCCTCCAGTGTGAAGTCAGGAGTCCCTGTCTGGGGAATACCCAATATCCTGGTGCTGCCTGGCAGTGAGAATTACAACTGCACTATGGCACTGCTTACCTGTTCCCTTATCCCACCAAAAAAACCCACAAAAAAGTGTTAACAGAGCTAAAACCAATCCTCTGTGCTGGAAAAGTGAAGGAGAACCCAGGGAAAACTTCCCTGACTGGAAAGGGTCCCAGAGGACACAACAGGTCCTCAACTACAGCACTGTGCTCATTTTCCTCAATAATTTTGCTCTAGAGATGGCAACAGCAGTTCAAAATTCAGGTTCTGCATTTTAGCAGTGACAAAACTCCTTTGCCAGCTCCATGTTTTTCAATATGGCAAAGTTTACTGGGTGAAATATATTCTGACACATGGAAACCATTCCAAGATCCTGAAAGCTGACAAGGAACGCTCTTGGGGCAGACACAAATTAAAAATGCCTCCACAATTCTTACTCCAGCACCCTTTGCACAGGTGTTGATGGAATTTGGGGAGCTCTGGAGAGCCAAAACCACAGCTCAGGTGTCCTGGCTTCAAACAGCACCTCAGGAGCAGGAGGACCAACACTTCCCAAGTCCATCTGGGGGCAATTCCCAAGGCACAGCTCCCAGGGGATCCCTGCATGATCCCAAAGGGAGACCACAGCACCCAGCTGTGCTCTGGGGCCCAACAAAGCTCTGTCAGTCCCCTACAGACCTCAACTCCTGCACCCCATTCCTGCAACTCTTCACATTCAGTTAAGGCAGCTTTAGTGTTTAAATCCCACAATGTTTCCATGAAAATAAATAAGGAAATTTGGGAAAAAAAACAGATACAACAACGTGGATCATCAGTGCTGCCCTGCCCTGGGTGCCAGCAGCAGCTGGCCCTGCTCTGCCTGGGGCACCAGCCACCAGAGGGAAGTGCAGCCCAGAGTGTCCAGTGCTGCATCCAGGCAGGAATGTGGTCTGGGATTCAGCTGCAGCCAAGATGGAAGGGGAAAAGCTCGCTCTGCACAGCACTGAGATTACAGAGTGAGCCCACAGTGACACACAGGGCTCTCTCTGTTCCCCACAGCATCCCTGCTGCTCCACACACAGCATGTGGAGGGAAACACTTCCCTCACCTGGAGGCCTGCTGGGCCATAGGCAATGGCAAATTCCTTTCAAAGGAAAAGGGAAAAGCTCCTGGTTCATAGATCATCATCCCCCTGTGCAACCAAAGTGTGTCCCCCTTGTGCTTTGCCCTCATCATCCCAAACCACAAGGAAAATGTGAGATGGGAACAGGTTAAAAACAATCACTGAAGTTTGTTGCTAGAGTGTTCATGTTGTTTGTTTCTCTTTTTTTTAAATTTTATTTTTAGCTACAAAATCCTAAATGTTTACAGAAAATTGTAACAAAAAGGCACTGCAAACTGATGGCTGGGAAGGCTGGTAAGAAGGGGATGGAAAGAAATCTCCCATGGACTGCAGAACTGCCCCTTTGAAATTTCAAACTGTTGCTCCAAACTAAAAAAGAGCTTTAAACAGTTTATTTTTAAATCAGACATGCCAATGTTTCTGACCTTTCCAAAAATATCCAGCTGAAGGGGTCTCTAGAACTCTGAGTGATTAAAATGTGATAAACTGATAACTAACTGCAGAGAGGGCCTCAGAATGGAAATGTAGTAAGAAACTGTAATTAAAAGCACAATTTTCAATGCCTCCTCTAATTGAGTCTCTGATCTCTACTCCAAGCATCATTTTCCCAACAATGCATTATATGAAACTTCAGAATGGCCTTGTGAAGCAGCAGCAAAGCCTCACCACAAGGGATTTCAAATCTGCTCAGTTTACCACATTCCTTCAGGAGAAATTGGATAAAATTATGTTTTTCTCATTCTTTTAGCTCACATAATTCCATCTTAAAACTTCCAAGATAATCATGAATAAGCAAAGTGGTTGATTGTGGGGAGTTTATCCCTGTAAATACCTTGAGAAGGAAAATAGCACTTGAATTCAGGAGCCTTACCTTAGGTGCTGCCTTTTTGGGCTTTGGCTCCGGTTTGGGTGGAGCAGGTTTCTGCAAAAAACAAAAGAAACAACTCAGGTGAATACCAGAAATAAATACTTATTTTTATGAGCATTATCTTGGTAGCTTTTGAAAATTATTTGTTGGCCCTGCAAAAAATCAATGGGCAAATTACCAGGCTAAAGAGAGAGCAGGTGATTTACAGAGCCATGAGCATTTGTATGGAGAAGTCCTACAGGGAACAAATCCATCCTGAAATCAATATTCCTTAACTCTGGATACTTGTGCCCAGGTGGAATGTGCACTAACACAGTCCTTGGATCTCATGTGAGAAGCCTGGGATGTGGGGATGTTCAGGGAACAGAAACATGGAATGGGAATTTTAAATATTGCAATACTCTAAGTGTGCCTTTTCCAGTTCTGGGGGAAAAACCCCAAATAGTTTATTTTTAACTGTCCCCATCCCAAGTGATAAAATATTAAAGGATAAATGGAGATACTCACAGCAGATAGTCTGGCTGACCTTCTCTTTGGCTGCATAAGGAAAGATATGTCAGTAAAATTCAGACAGCACATAAAGCACAGCTTTCTCCTAACTGCCACCCAAAATAACATGGCATCCTGAAAAATCCATGGCCCCATGGAAATCCTAGGATTTATGAAATTATGGAGGTTATGGTGAAGACCTTGATAACTCCCCATCCCAGAAAGTGTCCAAGGCCAAGCTGGACAGGGCTTGGAGCACCCTGGCATGGTGGAAGGTGGCCCTGCCCACTGCAGGGGGCAGAACTAGAGGATATTTGAGGTCTGTTCCAACCCAAACCATGCTGTGATTCCATGATCCCTGCACACACAGCTCAGGGTATTCTGTGATTTCCCACAAGTGCACCTTTGCTCAGTGGGTCTCTTCTGCCGCCACTTTACTCTGCTGACATGGTAAGGGATGAATGTTCTGTACTTGCAGCAGTTGTGAGGCTAAAAGGGACATGGCCCCACTGGAACCTGCCCCTGACCTCAGCCCAGGGCAGCTGCTGCACACCCAGTGCCACCTCGGGGGGGTCACCTGCCACCTCAGAGGACAGTGATGGCCCCGAGCACCCCAAAACCAGGCATGGGCCACCCCCAGGGGCTGAACCCCTCATGAGCTGCGTGGGCTTCCTCATTTCTGCAGAACCCCACGGGAATTCTTGGAGTGGGGACCACACACAACTCCTACCTCCTCCTTTGCCTCGCCTTCAGCTGGAGCCTGTAAAGAAAGCGAGACACTGAGGTGAGAAGGCAGCACCGTCCCCTGTGACTCCCCTGAGCCCTGAGGGGAGCCGGGGGGGCCCACAGGGCCCCCCAACACCACCCGCAGCAATGGCGGCCTCCCCCCATCCCTACCGCCTCACGGACTACAACTCCCACAATGCCCCGCGGCCGCCGCCGCTACGTCATCACGTCGAGTTCGAAAAGTTCCCGCCAATTTCCCCTCACACAACAAGGTCGCCGCGGGCCTCGCAAGGACAATGAGGGACAGCCGGGAACGCGGCGATCGCGCCCGCCCGAAGCGTTTCCACTGA